AATTCATGGAAAACTGAAATAAAACATGTTTATTTAGGTGCAAAAACAAATTTTGAAATCCATGCATGACTTTTTTCGTAAGAAGCATTTTCCATGAAGTTTTTAAGTCCCTGATCGGTGACAACTAACCAACCATAAAAAAGGAAACCTGTTGAAGTGAAAGGGACACTATGAGAAACAGTGACTTGATCAGCCCTTGTCCTGACTGTTGATGTACAATTTAAAACTTTATCCCTTTTAGTATTTTTTTGTTCTAGTTAATACTATTGGTTGAACTCTGTAATTAACACACATTTATTCTTAAGTGTTGAAATTTAACTGAAAAGTGATCCCTGTTAAATATAAGAGTGGGAATAAGAGAGGGAGGAGATGTACAATTTGGGACATGCTCAATCAGACTTGCCCCAAATGGTGGAGTTAGAAACGTGCCAGGGGATTCCAATACAATCCCATCAAGATTGCATGTACCAATGCCATCTCACTAGTCCAAGTGATCAATTTCAGTTCACAATTGATCGCACTGATAGGTCTAAGAGTCAAAAGGATCACACAAACAAGACTAGTGTCTGCAAATAACTAACTGATAGAATAAAAAAAGGAGAGAATGATCCAACATGGGAAGTGGGATACACAGAAGACTCATAGAATGGCAGATGCCCTAAACAGCACTCTGGCCTCAGAATCAGCCCTTAAGGCACTTGGATCTGGCTGAAGAGCCCATGAGAGTATTTTAGGCATGGAAAGCCAAGACACTCTGGCAAAAAAAAAAAAAAAAAAAAAAAACCACACACACACAACAACAACCTAAATGAAAGATCTCTGCGAGAGATCCCAGTAGAAAGAACAGGCCATCAAAGAAGGAGGTACCTTTCTCTGAAGGGAGGAGAGAACTTCCATTTTGACTATGACCTTGTCTAAATAAGATCGAAGTTGGCGAACTCAAGAGGCTTCCATAGCCTTGGCAACTCATGACTAGAGCCTAGGGAGATTTCTGATGCCATAAACAAGAGTGTCAATTGTTAAGTCAACAACAGGAGTCACTGTGTACTTACTCCTCATGTGGGATCCCTGTCCTTAATGTGTTGTCCAATGTGAATTAATGCTATAACTAGTACTGAAACAGTATTTTACACTTTATGTTCTGTGTGGGTGCAAACTGATGAAATCTTTACTTAATATATACTAAATCGATCTTCTGTATATAAAGATAATTGAAAATGAATCTTGATGTGAATGGAATGGGAGAGGGAGCGGGAGATGGGAGGGGTGCAGGTGGGAGGGAAGTTATGGGGGGGGGGAAAGCCATTGTAATCCATAAACTGTACTTTGGAAAATTATAGTTACTAAATAAAAGTTAAAAAAAAGGGGAAAAAAAAGACCCATGTACTCTTATGTTTTTAATTTCTTAAACATTCTTAGGTAAGATGTTTTGTTCAGTGGTCTGCAATTTTTTCTTGTACAGTAAAAAAAGCATCAAAAATTTCTCGAAGGACAGTTGTGGCATCAGTGCCCCAGCAGCTTTTCTGAGTCCCATTTCCATCAGCATTTGTAACACAGGAGCCAAGTAATGCAAGGCGTATTCCTACCAGCTGGAGGCAGACTTCAGTGCTCAAAATCTAACCTCAGCCTCCGGCATCTGAGTCTGGGCAAATTAGTTCATCTGTTTTTGTTGTTTTGTTTTGTTTTTGTTTTGACAGGCAGAGTGGAGAGTGAGAGAGAGAGACAGAGAGAAAGGTCTTCCTTTTGCCGTTGGTTCACCCTCCAGTGGCTGCTGCGGCCAGCACACCACGCTGCCAATGGCAGGAGCCAGGTACTTATCCTGGTCTCCCATGGGGTGCAGGGCCCAAGCACCTGGGCCATCCTCCACTGCACTCCCTGGCCACAGCAGAGAGCTGGCCTGGAAGAGGGGCATCCGGGACAGAATCTGCGCCCTGACTGGGACTAGAACCCGGTGTGCCGGCACCGCCAGGCGGAGGATTAGCCTAGTGAGCCGCGGCGCTGGCAAATTAGTTCATCTGTTTTATCTTCTGTAAGATGAGGGCTATGCATAGTATCTACTTCAAAGGGTCATTTTGAAGACTAGTAGTTAATTAACATAAAGCACTTAGAAGAGTTTTGGGGTACATACACTGAGTCATTAGCTATTGTTATTCTACAGGTAATTGGCAATGATTTTTTTAATTTTGTTCCTGATCAAAATCCAGTGTACTCTCTTTTCCTGAAGCTATGATTTCTTAATTTATTCTTTTATTAATTCCTAGTTTTATTGTATTTTATGGAGAGAATATAATTATTTTGATCTCTCCTATGATCAAATTTATTGAGGTATATGCTGTGCTGTGATGGATCAATTTAATAAATGTTGTTTGTAACCTTTGGCAAGGATACAAAGTTGAACACACAGATACCAAAGCAGCTTGACTTCATTTTTATTCACACACATTTGCCCAAACTGAAGTTTTCAACTATGATTCTTTTACCAATTCATCTTTTTTACTTTACTTAAATACTTCTCTGACTGAATTGTAACAGGAATTGAAGAAAAATCATTTAATCCCTTCCTCTAATCAGTAATGGCCAGAGGAAGGCCCAGGGCCAGTCACATCCTGCAGCCTGTGTTTGTCATGACGTTTTGTTGGGACACAGCTATCCCTTCACTGCTCCACCATCCAGAGCTACTGTTCCACTACAACAGCAGCGCCGAGTAGTTGCACTAGACATTGCACGTCCACAAAGCCAGAAATATTTACTCTCTGCCTCTTAACTAATTTACCTTCACTTGGCCAAAATAATCTGTTTCATCCGTCCAGGTAAGCCTCTATTCATTAACTGTCTGGTTATTAAAGTTGTACTTGTTTTCAGAAATTAACAACATGATTTTATAAATCAATGTATCTACTCTTCATATATTTTGTCACTCTTACTCCAATCTCAGGCAACCTCAATGTTTTCCAAGCACATTTAAACACACAAATACGGATGTCTCCTCTAAATTTGTCATTGTTTTTCAGAATTGAGAAGACACTCCATATGCTCCGCTGAAAATTATTTTTCCCAATTAACATCACATCACAGTTGCCCATTCAGGTCACTAAACAGAGATCTAATTAAGTCTTTTAAATTGCTGCAAAATATTTGGTATAAATATCTCATAAAATTTATTCGATTGACTGCTAATAGAAGATATCAGGATTGTTTGCTCCTTTTCTTATATAAACAGTATTCAATAAAGAAACTTTTGTAACACTTTCCTAGGTGTGGTATTTCTCAGTCAGAAGATATTTGTACTTTCACTTTTTGTGAGTGGACTCTAGCAATTCACATTCCACTGAGCCACTGTGACAAGGCTCTGAATTCCTATTTATGTCACATCATTCTTTTTAAAATGTACAGAGATGAACATGAAAACCTGAGATATTTTTCCTTTAATTTTCATTTGCCTAAATCATAGAGAGGTTGGGCATTTTTGCTTAAATATTTAGCAGCTATTTTTATTTTTCCTTTTGTGAATTGCCTGTGCATCTTCTTTGCTCATTTTAATATTGGGTTGTTCATTGCTTATCAAAGGTTATGCACCTTTAACTTTTTCTCTGTCTTACCTGATACAGTTTCCCTCCAATATATTGTTTGTCTTCACATATGTTATATTTTCTCCACACTAAATTTGTTGTTTTCCCATCTATTAGTCTATTGACACTCAGATCTAATGACTGATCTTGTCAGCAAGGCAGCCATCTTCTTCCTCCCTCAGCATTCCTTTCCTGGCCAATCAGAGACCCAAGTTTACCCTGGTAACCCCAAGAAACTATGTATTTGGTAAAAGAAAATTTCCCTTTCAGGTGGTAGAAGACTTAGTAAGGGTATGTGTACTGTACAGCTGTGTCTTTATGAGCTCTCCTATCCAAACACATTTATTTGATATGTTTCCATATACTGTTTGGTGCTCTATTGTTCAAAACTTTTTACATTTATTATATACTAGAACAGGTATCAATATCTTAATAAATAAAATCTTTTAACCTATATGATACTTTTTGACTTAAGTACTTATTTTTCTTATATTGAGGGTCCTGTTTCTTTTTCTTACCTGATATTTGCATCATGTATTTTTAAAGTTTTATCTTTCTGTTGTAGCAAAAGAGAAATAACAATTTTGTCATTGAAGCCACATTTATAGATTTTTAAAAAATTCTTTGGGAGGCAGAGAGAGAGAGCAAACTAGTGCTACCATCTTCTGACTCACTCTACAATTGCCAGCAACCACAGGGGCTGGGACAAAATGCCAGGAACTGGGAATTCAATTCAGGTTTCCCAAATGAGTGGCAGGGATCCAGTTACTTTAACCGTCATCTACTTCCTGCTAGGGTCTGCATTGGGAGGAAGCTGGAATCTAGAGCAGAGCCTGGACTTGAACTCAGGTACCCCAATATGGGATGCGGGGATCCTAATCCAAGTTTTAATCACTAGGCCAAATACTCACCTGTTAAACCACTTTGAAGTGGACAGTTTGGTGGCATCAACTGCATTCACAATGTTGTGCAATCATCATCACTATTTCCAAAAATTTCACCACCCCAAACAGAAACTGTCTGCACTGAACAATAACTCCCTGCTTTCCATGCCCCTCTGGACTCCGGTCACCTCTCTAGTCCAGTTTCTGATCCAATGAATTTGCGCATGCTAGGGACTTCATACAAGTGGAACTGTATATTTTTCCTTTTGTGTCTGGCTTATTCTACTTAGTATGATGTTTTCAAAATTTATCTATCTTGTACTATGTATCAAAACTTTATTCCTTTGCATAACTGAGTAATTTCCACTCTGTACACACACACACACACACACATTTTGTTTAGGCATTCATCTGTTAGACTTTTGTTTCTGCCTTTAGGCTGTTAATACTCGAGTTTGAATATCTGAGTCCCTGCTTTCCATGCATGGTTTAGAGGTTGGCATTTTGATCTAGGAATCATATTCAAGCAATAGTGCTCCCAACTCACCCTTCATTACAAGAATAGTTGATTATTGATCCAAACTGGGTATCTGTATTTATATGTACCATTCCATTAAAGGGTTCTGGAGGAGTTCCACATGATTTTCCTAGGGGAAAGAAGCAGAATTGGGGACTCGGTGTAGGGTTCAGTTTACCTTTGATTACAAGGTTAAAACTAGACTTCACCATACTGAAAAGTCTGTATTATTCCGACTGTTCCAAAGAATTGACCATCCCAGGAAATCTACGATCTGACTTTGGAATCCAGCAGCTACAGAGCACTACATACAAAGGACTACCGTGCATCTCCCAATCAGAGTAAATAATAGAGCTGTGCTCTCATTCCACCAGCCTAAATCAAAGGCCTCAGAATGTGAAATTTTCCTTTATCTTTAAACAAGCACAGTTCACTGTGACCTACATAAGTTTCCTTTGTTCCCCTGTTTAATTCATTTCATAGTTTAAGTCATCAAACTTTATCTCCAGTGAACGCAGCTTTTCTTTTCAAATCCTTTTATAAGAGCCTTTTCCATGAAATGAATACCTAGTTGAGATTTTAAAACTTCAAGCAGTAAGAAGGGGTGACCCCCAAGACCACCCTCCATCAAAACTCTGAAAAATGTAGCTGCCTTGCCTCTAAAGTTAGAACAAATCAATCAAATCCCACAGATGCTTTTCCTACACGGAACAACTACCAGAGCAGAATTACTCACGTCTGCAGGTGTCCTCTGTGCTTGACCAGACCAAGTTTTCAAGGCAGGTGATGGAGAAGGTGCCCCCCAAGTACCCAGGGCCACATTCATAATTCAAGGATGTCCCAACTGGGAATTCAGACATATCAATTGGAGTTGTAGGACTGGCAAATGGGAACTGCTCTGGGATGCTACAGCGACCTGGAAAAACCCGCAGGGGTATCAGTTAGCAGAGAAACTCCCAGCCTTCTTTCTCCTCTTCTCTAGTCAAGCTGATAAATAGGACCACAGAAACAAAGAGACTTAACATAATGCCAAAATATTTTCTTCCTCTACAAGTCCCCTTAGGATGGTACATTCCAATGACATCTATGCGTTAGGAAAATTTTTCTGTCTAGAAGATCACTCAGTTTCCTGTTCTTTCTGCTCTAGTTTCATATGTCAGGCCTTCTATCTGAGTGACTAGATCCAGAATTAATCCTTCATTGTGCACCAAAAAATAGTTTTCCATCTTTCTCCATCTACTCCTCCCTCAGGATGCCCACCGCAGGTTGCCTCTCAGGCACTGAAGAGCAGTTACCACTTGCCATGGGCTGAATGTTGCATCCATCCAGAATCTCAGAATGGGGACTTATTTGGAATAGTGGCCTTTTAAGATACAATTAAGGATCTCAAGATAAAATCATCCTTCTATCCTTACAAAGAAAAAAAAAAGAGGAGTGTTGAGATATTGTGACATAGAGAAGAAGGCCACTTAAAGATGGAGGCAGGGACTGGAGTGATGCATCTCCAAGCCAAGGAATGGCAGGAAGTCCCAAAGGCTGGAAGAGGCAAGGATCAGGGTGTCCTGAAGGCCCTTAGGAGGGACGGAGCTCTGCCAACATCTTGATTTCAGACTTCAAGCATACAGAACTGTGAGAGAATGCGTTTCCATGGCTTTCAGCCACCTGGTGCATGGTATTTGTTACAGCGGCCACAAGAAACTATTGCACCACTCTTCTGAGGCTAAATCAGTCATTTTAGGAAAAGAACAAGACAGACAAGACCATCAGGCAGCCTCCTCCAAGACCTGTGTCTTCTTTATGAGGTGATATTTTATGTGTGCTATATATACATACACGTGTGTGTGTGTGTGTGTGTGTGTGTACTTATCTGAAGGAAGAGAGAGATCGATTTTCCATCTGCTGGTTCACTCCCCAAATGTCCACAACAGCCAGGACTGGGCCCGGCTGGAGCCAGAGGCCAGGTGCTTTCTCTGGATCTCTCTGCTGGTTTCAGGGGCCCAAGCACTTGGGCCATTCTCTGCGGCTTTTCCATCCACATTAGCAGAGAGCTAGATCTGAAGTGGAGCAGCTGGGACTCAAACTGGCATCCATATGGAATGCTGGCGTTGTAGGTTGTGGCTTACCTGGTTTATACCACAATGCTGGCCCCCTCATCTTTATTTTTTTCTAGGATTTATTTATTTGAAAGGCAGAGTGACAGAGAGAGAGGAAGAGCAGACAATAAGAGAGGGAGGCAGAGAGAGATCTTTCATCTGCTGGTTTACTCCCCAAATAGTCATAACAGTCAGGCCAACGCCAGGAGCCAGGAACTCCATCCCGGTTTCCCTCATGGGTAGCAGGGACCCAAACACTTGGATTGTCTTCTGCTGCCTTCTCTGGAGCATTAACATGAAGCTAGATCGGAATTGGGGCAGCCAGGACTCAAACTGGTGCTCTGATCTGGGATGCCAGAATCAAGTGGTGGCTTAACCCTCTAGGTCACAACATTGGCTCCTGGGGCCCGTCTAGTTTAACTAGTGTATAATGACAATTTTCATTTATGAGAAAGTTAAGCCCATAAGCACACATCCAACTCTAACTATAGAAACATGAGGAACTGGGACCAAATAGCCTGAACCCATTTAATATACAGAAGTCGGTACTGACCAACAGGAATAAGAAGTTCACAATGAGGGGCGGGACCACTCCAAACCCCTTTCCCTTGACTGTCACTCATGCAGCGGATGGTGCTCTTCCCAATGAGGCTGAAGGTCATCCCTCCTTCAGGATGGGAGTCACATGTGTAAGATACTTCTTTTCCATAGGGAATATCTCCCAGAGGAGGTCCTGTGTGTCTCCCATTAAGGATAGCTGGAGGATTTGGACAAAAGATTTCTAGAAAGAAAACAAAAGATGTAAGTTCTTCAAAATTGTAACTGAAGTGATTTTATAATTATCGGATTCTGTGATTGGGTTGCCAATTAAACAATTCCTTTTTGCTTGACAATTGAAACTGGAAAATAAATGTACTAGGCCTGTGCTGAAATGAAATCTAAATTCAAGTTTATTTCGAAAGTCTAAAAGAACTTTAAGTATCTGGAATTATTCAGATAGGATTTCTGAATAAAAATTTAGAGTGTATTCCTTTAAAATAAACAAAAATATTCTTGGTTATACTAAAGTAAAGTCGATCATTAATTCCACAAACATTTTGGAGCACTACTGACTGTCAAGTTATATTTTAAGCACAAAATGAATATTATCCTTGACGTCTTTGACGTTTATATATCTGTGATTTAATTTTTCTTGATGATGCCAGCCTGTAATTTTCAAAATCAAAATGAATGATTAAGCAATGCTGTCACAATGAAATGAAAAGTGCTCTGTGTTCTTGTTTGTGTTTCAAAAGCCCCAAGAATGTCATGCTTTGAGAGAAGAATGTTCTCATTGAAGAAACACAAATTTATTCCTTTGAGTGTTTTTATTTGGAGACACTCCTTCCCCATGCTAACTTTATTTGGATTTGGGAAGGAGATACTAAGAGAATACACTCAAAAGAGTTATGGATAAGCAAAACAAAGGCTTAACCAATGTTTACCCTCTAGTAAGTTATGTTAGGTATATCTTTGGGTTTATAACAGTACCTCTTAATAAGTGTTACAGGAAAGTTAGGATTGTCACATAACTGACTTCTAATTATGAAAGTTGAAATTATCAAGTTTCATCTTATAAATCAGTATAAAATGCAAATAATTTTACATTTAAACTTTAAAATTTTAAAGCAAAGTATTTCTGAGAGCAAAATTCTATTATAAACATATTTTTTATTTTTTTATTTTTTTATTTTTTTTTTATTTTTATATTTTTTGACAGGCAGAGTGGACAGTGAGAGAGAGAGACAGAGAGAAAGGTCTTCCTTTGCCGTTGGTTCACCCTCCAATGGCCGCCGCGGCCAGCGCGCTGCGGCCGGCGCACCGCGCTGATCCGATGGCAGGAGCCAGGAGCCAGGTGCTTTTCCTGGTCTCCCATGGGGTGCAGGGCCCAAGCACCTGGGCCATCCTCCACTGCACTCCCTGGCCACAGCAGAGAGCTGGCCTGGAAGAGGGGCAACCGGCAAAGAATCCGGCGCCCCGACCGGGACTAGAACCCGGTGTGCCGGCGCCGCTAGGCGGAGGATTAGCCTAGTGAGCCGCGGCGCCGGCCAATAAACATATTTTTTTAAATAACTCTGATCAGAGGATAAAACAACACCCTGTTTGAGTTAGTGAAGAAATAGATTGGATATATTAATGTTCTATATTAAAGGTACTACTTTGCTGTCATCTTAAAAGTAAAAAATAATCCACTTGATCCCATTTCCCTCTCCAGCTATAGTCCTATTTATCTACTCCCTCTACAGGAAAACTCTAAGATGTGGCCTGTGATGTGAGAGCTCTTCCCCTGCGTTCTCCCTTGAACTCGTTTCAGTCAGGTGTTGGCTCCATCACTCTCCTGCACCTGCTCTTGTTAGGACACTTATTCCTCCAAGTCACAAAATCTAATGATCAGTTTTCTGCTCTCATCTGACCTCTCTGTAGAATCTGACATAGTTAATTATCCTCCTCTGTTGAGAAGAATGTCTCCTCTTGGCTTCCAGGACACCTCTTTCTCTTGTTTTCTCTCACAATAGTGGCTGCTTCAACTTAATCCCCTTAGACAATTCCTTATCTTATCAGCTTCTTAATGCTGGATTCCTGGGATCCACCCATGTGTCTGTTTTCTAGCCATGCTCACTCCCTACAAGATCTTGCTTAATATCAACTTTAATTATAATAGGTACAACATTGGCTTCTAAATGTCCACAAGTCTGGTGTAGGTCTCTCCAAGATACCTATCTGAATATCTAATAGGAATGGTAAGCTTACATCCCAAGTTCAATATTTTATTTCCTCCCATTGCAAAACTTGCTCTTCACAGTTTTCTCCTCCAATTCAGTTCAGGGAAATTCTACCCTTGCAGTTGCTTGGGCCAAAAACCATGAAATTATCTATAACTCTTCTCTTTCTCTCACACCCTCTGTCTAAACAATCAGCAAATCCTATCTATCATCTCTACCTCCAAGATATATTCAGATTTGACAAATTTTTGCCTCCCCAACTGTTTTCCTGGGCCAAGATGGCTCATGAGATTGTTGCAATAGTCTCCCAATTTGAACTCTCAGCCATATCCACAGATTTATTTGGCTCCACCTGCCTTTTGTGTCCTTTGTTGGTTTCTTGATTGAGAACAATGATTAAAAAAAAAAAAAAAAAGAAAAGAAAATGCCAGGAACATTTCTGCCTTGTGGCCTTGCATCAGAGTCCCATGTACAGTTAAAGTTCATCCCCTATGTATGCACATTGATAGTCAACTAATTTTTATTAATGCCCACACATTTCTTTCTCAGAAAGGACTTCCTTATTTAAAACTGAAACTTTATTCTTTTCCTGGAATTCCTTATCCCCATTCACATAACTATTTTATTGCATTTCCTTGCATTTTTTCTTAATAATACTTGGTGTTATTTGGAATTTTTTGTTGGCTTGCTTGCCTTTATCTGTGCACAAAAATCTAAACAACATGGGAGCAGGGATGTTGTCTGTCTTATTTACAGATGTATTCCTACTGCCTACAGACCGCCTCACACAATAGGTGCTCAAAAACCTTTTTTTTGAACGAGTGAATATGTGACTGGAATGATGATTAACGAAAAGATATAAAAGTTGAACATGATTTTACTTTTGACAGGAAAGAAAAAGGAGAAATGTGGCAAGGCAAATGCCATAAATTTATTTCTATGAAACACAGTCCTTCTCATTTATAGCACATATAAATATTTTATGCTCATAAATATTTTATAGGATGACACCCAAAACATTTGATGCACGGGTTTATTTTCCTCAGAAACATTCCTCATAACTATTCCAACAGAGAACTATTTCTATCAAAAATAGACATAAACAGGGGGCAGAAATATAATTTCATGGGTGAAAATGAGAGAGAAGAAGCAGGAGCAGGAGGAGGAGGAAGAAAGAAGCACGAGTGAGCTCCAGGTCTGAGCAGGTGCTCGCCTACTCACGTTCACACACAGGCACGCTGCTGTTCCAAAGGCTTCTTGTTCCCACCAAGACGCAATGACTAACAGAGCTTCCCTTTAAATGGAACCTGAAGAACAAAACCAGCAGCAGCAGTGAGCACATCATTTCTTTTTTTTTTTTTAGAAGATTTTTGTTTAATGAATACAAATTTCATATGTACAGCTTTTAGGAATATAGTGGTTCTTTCCTCATTCTCACCCTCCCACCCCTACTCCCATCCCACCTCCTACTTCCTCTCCCATTCGATTCTTCATTAAGGTTTGTTTTTAATTGACTTTATATACAGAAGACCAACTCTATACTCAGTAGAGATTTCAACAGTTTGCACCCACACAGACACACAAAGTATAAAGTGCAGTTTGAAAACAAGTTTTACCATTAATTCTCATAGTACACCTCATTAAAGACAGAGGTCCAACATGAACAGTAAGTACACAGTGATTCCTGTTGTTGATTTAACGATTAACACTCTTACTTTTGACATCAGTGACTACCTGAGGCTCTTGACATGAGCTGCCAAGGCTATGGAAGCCTCCTGAGTCCACAAACTCTGTCAGTATTTAGAGAGGGCCATATGCAAAATGGAAGTTCTCTCCTCTCTTCAGAGAAAAGTACATCCTTCTTTGACGGCCCCTTCTTTCCACTGGAATCTCACTCACAGAGATCCTTCATGCAGAACAGTTTTTGCCACTATATCTTGGCTTCCCATGCCTGAAATGCTCTCATGGGATTTTTCAGCCAGATCCGAATGCCTTAGAAGCTGATTCTGAGGCCAGAGGAGCACATCATTTCTCTCTTCTCTTTATTGACAAATCTCAGCTTCCTCCCCAAGAAGACCTAAACTCATTAGCAACTGGGCTCCTAAGCAACTCATTTGTTTCCTCACTGGCACAAGATGGGAAACCAAGTCATTTAGGAGAAAGTGCAGCTTCCAGTGAGGGAGAAATCAACAACTGGTGAAGCTGAGTAACCAGACAGATACCATCACCCCCTCAACCCCCAGCCAGAACAGAAGAAAGAACAGAAAACATGACAAGCGTTTCCCTGTTCTGGCCTGGGCTTCAGGAGGTCACCTTTTCCCTGACTGCCCTCTGAAAGCCCCCTCAGAGGAGACACATTTCTTTTAAAATTTATCATTTATTTTCATTGTATTTGATGAGAGAGAGATAGAATGAATAAATGAATATCTTCCATCTGCTGATTCACTCCCCAAATACCTGCACCAGCCAAGCTAGAGCCAGGAACTCAGTTTGGGTTTTCCATGTGGGTGGCAGGGACGCAAGTACATAAATCATCACCTGCTGCCTACCAGCATGCACATCAGCAGGAATGTGATCAAAGGCAGAGCCAAGACTCAGACTCAGGCACATTCCGTAAGGGACGGGGCCTCCCAAAGGGAGTCCTAACCGCTGCACCAAATAGCCACCCCAGAGCTTTATCTTCTAATGCGAAATGCAGCTTTCCCCCTTTTGAAGACAGCAGATCGGGAAAACAGCCACTGTCTTGGGTTGGCAAATTACTAGGAAAGATATCAGAGGCTATGATTTTTGCCACTGTATCTGGTACAATACTTAAAGTATCCTTGAATTATTGAAAGGCAAAGCAAATTACCCTAGGAAAAAGAGAAAAAGTTGAGAAGGGAGGGCTCTTGGAAAGAAATCATCCCCAAAGGACGGGTTTATTGTCAGATCAATGGCTCCTGAGTTGTCGCCGGGTGTTTATTGAGTGACTGGAGTTTTATGTCAAGGAGTCCTTAAAATAAACTGTTTTTTATCTGCCAGTGGTCCTGGGACATAAAAAAAACCAAGAGCATTTGCTGTTCCATAGACTGAAGATATCCCCTGAGACGTGGACATCAGTCTTCATGCTCCCTCCAACACAAACACTCATTAAATGAAAAATAATTCGATGTTTACAACTTCTACTTACTATTTCATTCCTATCCCAAACTCCACTATTAATCCATTTAAAAGTTTTGTGAAATAAACTTTGTATGATATTTATCTTATATGTAACTTTCTCTTTTACATCAAAGTTTTTTTAACAACCCCCTAGAATATTTATCTCTTTATGCCTAGAATACTGCTTATCCATATACTTAATGTTTCACTATGGATTCAAGATCTGTTGTATTTTTGCTGTTCATTATATTTAAAAAATCTGTTCATGTTCCATGTGATTCTTACCATACTTTCCAATCATTGCTTTAGATATTAGTCTTTTCTATTCTTTTCCACTAGTTCAGTCTCCCTTTGTGGATAAACTCCCATTATCCAGGGTCTCAACATCCAGCACTAAGTCCCTGGTCTCTGTGTTGGGTCACACTCACCCTTCATCACAGACAAAGGACACTTTTGCTCCAAGCTGGAGATTAAGTGGAACTGATATGTGGCCATTAGGGAGTTGTTCCAGGAAATGATCACATGGTTTCACTAGGAGGGAAAAGAAAAACAGGAGTAAGACTGTGGTGTGGAGTGCAAAGAGATCGACCTGGAAACCAAACAACAGTCTAAGCACCTGCACATGTTGGGGCCGGAGGGTTCCAGTCTCCCTGGGGTGTACAGCGTACAGAAGCAGCCCCTGTGAGTTCATAGCCAGGCTCACAGCTGTAGATTACTTCCTGCCCAGGAGAAAAGGCGTCCTTGTGGCTTGGGGTGCGCTCACCATGCAGGATTTCTGGAGGTGGCTGACACACTGGGGAAGTGACAGATTCAGAGTTCTGGTAAATCAAGGGCAAATATCTTCCTAATCTCTATGCTTCCTAGGTTGCCTGAGGATCATACTTAGGGGTTCAGGCATAACACTGGGAGTCAAATGATACTTCACCCTCTCACTTCACTGATTTAAAAATTAATAAGGGGGACATGTAGCCCAAGGTAGAGAAAGAGAACCTAGCTTTCCCCAAAACTAAGTTCCAACTTACTCATCGGTCCCCAAGCACTGAGATTCCTTCTCCTAGCTCTGGCTATCCAGTAGAGTTATGAGTATTGGTGCATTCTTCACCTACATATCTCATTGGAAAACAATCACAATTTTTGGTTTCATTGTTCAGGTAATGACAAAGTTGCCTGGGCCTAAATTTTAGAATGGATTTCCCCTTATCCGTCATTGTACTCCCATGATGAAGGTACAGCTATCTATCCCTCTTTTATCTCTGTATCTTTTTGTTCTCCCAGCTGCTGTCTCAGTACTTGCACAAGGTTGACATGAGTTGGTAGAAGAGTTATAGGCTCTGTCCTTGCGTTCCAGCTACAATGCCTACCAGTCCACTGCTAAGCAAGCAATTTCAGCAAGCTAACAAGGACAAAAGCCACTGAATCAGTCAGCCCTGTACTCAGAGGCCGTAGAGCTTAGAATCTGACTCAAGATCTGCCTTCATTTCTAATCACTGTGGTAGGTGCTTATGGCACCAGAACCCATTTAACAACAACCAAACTTATACTTAATTAGAAATGAACGGAAAATCTGTTGGACTTTGAGCAAGTTACTTTCACTCTTGACTTCAGATTCTTAATGATAAAATGTGGGAGGTGAGAGGCAGGTATTTGGCACAGCAGTTAAAAGTCACCATTTCATGATACCCACATCTCATATCAGAGTGCCTGGTTTGAGTATCAGTCCCTCCGCTTCCAATCCAGTTTCCTACTAATGCTCACCCTGAGAGGCAGCAGTGGGTAGCTCAAATTCTTGTCCCTGCCACCCACATGGGAGACCTGTAACCCCTCCTATGCCCCAGCGAGACTCACCCCTGGAGCAGTGCGGCAGCTTAGGTTCCCATTTGTTTAGAGCTTTGCACCACACTTGGCTGGGTCCTTGCATGACAAAGCCAGGCTGACACTTCAACTCCACGATTTCATATAAGGAAAACAAGTTCTTGTGACCAGTTACCATGACTGCGTTTTCCACGTTTGGAGGTGTACATTTATTAGGTTCAATGCACTGAGGAGGGGGGCCGCTCCAGACGCCAACCTGATCATCATGGCTGGTACAATATATGGAGGGCTCCCCGATGAGGTCAAACAGCTTTCTGCTTCCTACTCCAGCTTTGCAAAAATAGGTCACCACCATTCCATATAGAAATTCTTCCCTGTTGGTACTGTAGAAATCTCCATTGGCGATGGCTGGGGGTGGTGCACAAGGAATACCTGGGAAAAGAACAGCAAGTTAAATAAATTTTGATTCCTTAAAGCTGTATTTAATTATGAAATTTGGTAACTTGTTTATTTTTTTAAAAAAATGAACTCCAATTACCAAAAAGTCAATATTTATAGTATAGCTGTTATCTGATCTTTGCTAATATACACACATGATTTTACATAATTGCAAATTAATTAGGTTACCACAATATTCTGTGTATTGCTCTTTTTGGTTAAAGATATTTCAATAACTATGTCCTTCTATAGTCCACATATTTACTTCTCATTTTAAATGCAAATCTAATTATGTTATTTCACCATTGTTGATTGAATTCTTTCTATATAGAAGGCATTCAGTTTTATTCTCTGTTATGAATATGGTAAAGCATGTGGTATAGCATCTTTATCAAATAAGCGAAAACAAAAACTGTGGCAAAACTAATACAGAAGACTAATCACAAATATGCAATATTACATGTAATAAACATAATAATTATAGATCCAGAAATGCTAAAAAGATCTGAATTCCTGGATTAAAGGCATGTATTCAGTTTAGAGTATTGATAAAGACTGTATGCTGGCCTTTTTACCCTCCCCACAGTGTGTTTCAAAGTTGTTGATTTTCCTACACCATCTCCAAATCCTGGCTTATATCTTTTTACATGCTTTGTCAATTTGCCATTGTTCATTCCTCTATGCTCCTCAGAGTTTAGGAAGTTTCCACACAGCTCACAGGGGACCTGGCACCACTGTTCAGACAATGAACCAGAAGGAAGAGAGAAGTGCTTGCACACATGTATGATGAGATCTGATAGGAAGAGCAGCCTGCACACACGTATCATGCTATCTGGTAGAGCTATCAGGGAGGAAATGGGGTTCCTTTCTCTAAATTTGTTTACTTCATTGAAGAGAATAATCTTCAAATTGGGAAATGTCCAGCCAACAAAAAGAGAAGTTCGGGGCTATTTAAAACAAGCTGGGGGCCAGCACCATGGTACAGTAGGTTAATCCTCCGCCTGCGGTGCTGGCATTCCATATGGGCGCCGGTTCTAATCCCGGCTTCCCCTCTTCCAGTCCAGCTCTCTGCTATGGCCTGGGAAGATGAGCCCAAGTCCTTGGGCCCCTGCACCCACATGGGAGACCTGGAAGAAGCTCCTGGCTCCTGGCTTCGGATCGGTGCAGCTCCAGCCACTGTGGCCATTTAGGGAGTGAACCAACAGAAGGAAGACCTTTCTCTCTGTCTCTCCCTTTAACTGACTGTAACTCTACTTCTCAAATAAAATAAATTTAAAAATCTTTATAAAAAAAACAAGCTCAAGACTATATTTTAAATGCAATTGTACGAAGTGAAGGAAACACCAGATAGATCTAGAAGGTTGGAACACTTTGATCAGTTATAAGAATATAGTTATACTCTTCAAATATTGGAAGGAGATCATCCCCAAGAGGAATGAGATTTAGTCTTTGTGATTCGAGGTGGGATAAATGGTGAAAGAGATTTCAACTCACGTTCACAAATTGGTGGCTCCGCCTCCCATTTGACAGTATTGCCTGAGAGGACACATTCGGCAGATGTTTGACCAAGGATTCGGTACCTAACAGCAAAAAATGGAAAATAATTATTCTGTACACATTCTACCAACTTTCCTATAGCACATACATGTGGCAAATCTTAAACATTAAAAAGTGGGAGAAGGTATAAGGCCTAGCCTAAACTTCACATGTTGTATCCAGCTTTTCTCATTTCTCTCTCACCATTGAAAGTGATGCTGCTTCTCCACTCCAAATGCTAACCAGGCCTGACCCTGGGTCGCTTCCAAGATCAGAAGAAATCAGATGTGTTCAGGGTAGTATGGCCAAGGTCAAGATTTTTTTTCACTAGCTCCTCATGGCCACCTTTGCTTCTTAGTTCCTTGACTACATTGTGGGTTGTACCAGGCACCAAAATAAGACAGTTGTTAAAAATTTATTTGGAAGGCAGAGTGACACAAAAAGAGGGAGAAAATCAGAGAGAAAGAGATCTTCCATTTGCTGGATCACTTCCCAAATGGCTGCAACAGCCAGGCCTGGGTCGGGCTGAGACCAGGAGCCCAGAACTCCATCTGGGTCTCCAACATGGGTGTACTTTGGCTATCTTCTGCTGCCTTCCCAGGCACATTAGCAGGAAGCTGGACTAGAAGTAGACCAGACAGGACTTGAACTGGCACTCTGATACGGATGCTGGTGTCTCAGGCAGCGACTGAATCCACTGTACCACAATGCTGGCCCCGAGTAATTGTCTTCTCAAACTGTTTTTCTCTCAAATGATTGTTGCCATTTTTTGTATGTGCACACACACATACATACAACAAATGAGTAACACTGCTGTGTCATTTCATTTGAGGCATGTGTCTTGTAAAACCACAAGATTCGATGGGTGATGATTCTATTTAAAGACTTTGTCTTTCAGCAGGAAGATTTTACTGAAACAAATGATACACTTGATCTTGCCTCGTCACCGTCCTGTTCACTACCTCCCTCATTTATTTCACAATGTCCAATGATGAGGATGAAGCAATGACTAAGACCAATGTTCCCCAAAAACAAGGGGGCCTATTTCTTAGAAGAGACAGATACACTCCATGCTATTCCTTTTCCTTCTCTCATTTGCTATATGGACAAGATATGTTCAACTCCTCTTGTTGTTTTAATATTTTGGAGTTAATGCCCTATCTTTTTCCATCAGGAAGTTTTTTTCATACATATATGTGTCATATGTGTGTGTGTGTCCACAAAAAGATACATTGAACTTTTGTATCCTGGTCTCTCAATGTGACCTCTGTCTGGAAATAGTCTTTGCAGATGTAATCAAGTTAAGGTTATTAGGGTGGGCCCTAATCCAATATGACTAAGAAGAAAGAACTTTGAACATAAACTTACACACAGAGAATACTATGTGAAAACAGAGACGCACAAGGAAAACGGCCATGTGACAACAGAGTAGAGACTGGAGTGATGCTGCCACCTGCCAAGGATGGCCTGGAGCCACCAGGAGCTGAAAGAGGCAGGGAGGATCCTCTCTAGAGAGCTCAAAAGAAGTATGATCCTGCCAGTACCTTGACTGTGGACATCTAGTCTCCAGAATAAAGCTCTAAAAATGTGCTATTATAAGTAACCAATTCTGTGGTGCTTGGACACAGCAGACCTAGCAAACTCACAGCACTGTAGTCAGGAATATTTGTCTCCTGAATGGCTGCCCTGTGAGCTTCCTTTCTCCCAGCAGGGCCCACTCTGCCTTAGGCCCTTTGTGGGCTTGCACACACCCTCCCCCCACTTCCTCCTCTCCCACCCAGTGAACACCTGACATGTCTGGTATGCACTGCCCTCCCTGACTTTCAGCAAGGATGTAGACTTTTCTCCTGAAGGTATCCTTGTGATACCTTTATTCACTTCAATCAGGAGTTAAACATCTAAGCCTTTTAAGACCAGATGGTAATAGCCTACTTGTCCTCTCTGAGATGTGACTGGAAGGTAATATTTCTGTATTAGGGCTATTCTTCTACCTAGAGCTGTTGCTGCCAACTCACCCTTTATTGCAAGAATAATGAATTCTAGCTCCAAACTTGATATCTGTGGTGACATGTACCATTCCATTCTTAGGATCTGGAGGGTTTTCACATGATTTGCCTACGAGAAAGAAGCAGAATGTTGGAACCAGGTAGAGTAATATGAGGGTTTTATTTGTTTGTTTAGTATAAAATGTCTCCACCTGACTGTCGCCACCTGATTGTCGCTTACTAACAAGCCAGTGCAGTTTTGACAATTTCACAGGTTTTACCACTTTGAGAAAACTTCCCAGACAGCTTTAGGATCAACCACTCCTAAGTACCCCAAACACCTCCCTCCAATTCTGTCTTAGCTCTACCTTTTATACCTTCTCAAATGTGAAGGGCATTTTTGGCTCTGTATACTGCCAGTAGATTTCAATGTTCTCAAAGAATTTCTCCCCACTTAGTTATTCAAACACCATTTGAGTCTTTTTATATAATTTTTTTCCTTGTCTGGAGTGATTCATTATTTACAGAGATTTTTCCTTGCAAAAATTCCTTGAAACATTCTCATGAGATGAACATTTCATCCAATAATCAGGGTTGAGCCACAAGTCCAACATCTACATCTGTCTATCTTAATGTTTTTGGAAAAAGTTTCCTGTGTCCAAAATTTGAAAACAATGAAGACACTACAGGTGCTCTGACAGACATAGGAGAGGTCCAGCACAGACTACTCACGGGCACAGACGTCTTTGGGCCTTGACCAGACCAGATCTTCTAGACACTTAATAGAGAATGGCCTTCCCAAGTACCCAGCACGGCATTCGTACTTCAAAGATGTCCCAATGGGAAACTCAAATTCGTTGGTTTGGGTTTTCAGTTTGGCAAATTGAAAATGTTCCGGGGCTTTACAGTGACCTAGAGATCAAGAAATGAGGACTATGTGAGTGATCCCAAAGTGGCCAATGATTCTCACCCTTGCTGGATTTGAGGCCAGAAGAAAACAATTTTTTTAGTTATGGGCATATAATTTCCTTGTAGTTTTTGGAGGGAAAGTTCCATAAGCACATGGCCCTCAAGAAATATACCACCTGGAAGGCTAGTCTGCTATCTGGTCTTTCTGCTCACATCATTTAGGGCAAAGGTAGCTCCAGTTCAGTTTTTCACCTTTTTAGGGAGCCATGAAGCATGCCCCTTGCCATGTTCCACCATCCCTGTCTTTTTCCCTTGTAACTTCAACACATCAAAACTCTAACAGAGGGCTCAGCGCATAGATGCAAAATTCATTGTTTCTTGGTACAGGGAAGCTGCCACCAATTTTCTAGGTCTGATTCCCAAGCCAGCCCTTTAAACAAAGAGGAAACAAATAGCAACTCCTTAAAACAAAACAAGCAACAAAAACTAGAATCCTCATTATAAGGGAACATTTTGAATTAAATTCTGGCTTTAGATCAGTATCCCCATGGCTCATGAGCTCTAGGCCCAAGGATTAAAAGCTTACTTTGGATTCAAATAACCTGAGGTCAGAAAGGTATACAAGCTTGGAAAATAGGGATAATTTCTACTTGGTTTTAGCAAAACTATCTCTCTTGGCTTCTATTTCGGTGTCTTCCATCTTCCTTCTAATTATCTATTCAAGCAGTAAATGACGTACTAGAACTAATGCTGTGTGTGGACCATTCTCTGTGAGAAAATTTATGAACTTACTTCTCATTTCTTGACTATAACTGAATTTTTCTTATTTCTTATTTTCTTCAGGGAAACTTTATGTATCTGTATTACTCATTCTCTTTACATCTGAGAGCTGGAATGTTAGCTCTACTAGCTTCTGGTGCATGGAGTCCATCTCATGATAAAACCTGGCATCCCAGGGCAACTCACACATGACATCAGTGTGGCAGGTCTCCAGTCCGAAATACAGCTTAATCAAACTGGGGATGCAATCTGAGAATAGGGTTCTGATCCGAAAGTATCTACAACCTGAAGATTGCCTCACTCTGTTGATTCAGCAAAGCAGGCAAGGTGATATGTGTTTGTAAATGTGTACCCCATAAAGAAGCCGTAGTGTTGGAGAGGGATGGTGAGAGCAAAAATGGGTTCTCAGTGACTATTCCTTTTAGAATTGCTCTTCTCTCCCAGATTCCTGCAGTGGTCAGTGTGTTAAACCAGGCCTACGGTCTCTCCTACAATTTACTTCCTCTTTCCTGTCTCCCCTGCCTGAACGTGGGTGTCTTAGTGGGGGTTGGTGTCTTAGTCATCCTTCTCCAGAACTTAGAAAGACCCGATCTCTTTATCTTGCATTTTCCCTTTGCTTTCTCTCTCCACCAAATGGGAAGTCTTCAGAGGCTAAAGCAAATAACCTTCATTTTAATTCAGAATTTAGCTCAAGGAGGCCAAGGGAATCTTTGTGGCTTGTTGACAATGCAGTCCAGTTTTCAAAGAGAATGTACAGTGGTCTCTGGCCAAATATGTTAATACAGAGATTTTGCCTGGTCTGTGCCTCAACTCCAAAACCTGTGAAGATGCTTAACTTATGCTAAGATTCATGGAGACTTGTTTGTAATTCCTATGACTGGCAACAATGTTCTTTCTAACTAAGGACCTTCGCACCATCTGCCATCTTGACCCTTCTAGCATTCCCTCCAGCAGCAAAGGATATCAGAAACTTCTGTGTTGCCTTCTTCTAGAACCATTTATTACTAACTTGGTGTTTGTGTCAAGGGAACACATAACTAAATACCACACTGTAATTATAGGCATGCAGAGGGTCTGGTTTAGATATTCTGAGTCCATTTGGGATGTGTAAAATTGTGCACTAACCTGGACGTCCACAGCGAGGGGCGGGGCCGCTCCAAATCCCATTCCCTTGACCATCGCTCATGCAATGGATGGTGCTCTCCCCCGTGAGGCTGAGGGTCAGCCCTCCGTCGGGGTGGGGGTCACATGTGTAAGTTACTGCTCTTCCAAAGGGAAAGACTTCCAGCGGTTTCCCTGTGTGTCTCCCGTTGAGGATGGCCGGAGGACTCGGACAAAAGATTTCTGGAAAGTAGATGGGTTTCATCAAGAGACTTTACCGGGGGATTCTGCAATCATAGGATGCTACGACTGGTGCCACTTAAACAATGATAAGGAGATAAAAGTACACATGAGGCCTTTAATGAGATGGACTACATAAGATCTCAATCAAAGTTGTTGCAAAAGTACAAAAGAAATGTGCCTATCCTGAATCTTCCAGATCGTTACATTTTTTAAATTGAGTATCAAAACATTTAAAGAAGAAATAGAGTCATTCATTCATTCAGCAACTATTGATTGAGCACTTAATCCGTGTGAGCAATTCAACAGGACCCTGGTGACAAGGCGGAAAAGAGCAAAGACAAGGTCTTTGTCCTTCAGAGAATTTACATTCTTGTACCACTCATCTTAAATAGTTGAAGTCTTTCCTCAACAACTTATTGATATTGATCATCAATCTTGATCTCAATGATGACTACTTTTTTTTTTTTTGACAGGTAGAGTTACAGATAGTGAGAGAGAGAGAGACAGAGAGAAAGGTTTTCCTTCCGTTGGTTCACTCCCCAAATGGCCGCTATGGCCAGTGCCACGCTGATCCGAAGCCAGGAGCCAGGTGCTTCTTCCTGGTCTCCCATGCGGGTGCAGGGGCCCAAGCACTTGGGCCATCCTCCACTGCCCTCCCAGGCCACAGCAGAGAGCTAGACTGGAAGAGGAGCAACCGGGACTAGAACCTGGCGCCCATATGGGGTGCCAGCGCCGGAGGCGGAGGATTAACCAAGTGAGCCACGGCGCCAGCCCCAAATCTCAATGATGACTATTAAAATGAATTGAAATATGCACAGTCATAGTAAAAAAAAAAAAACTAAATGGATTCAGACTGCTTTGCTTTTCAAAATTTCTGGGTCTGTGTAGGATTTATTTTCTCTTACTTTCTGCAAGATTTCAAGTTGTTCTTTCTGTTTTCTGAATATCAGTGTAGAACAGTCCCTTCCTCACTTCTGATTGACATTTATAATTAGGCTTGGAATTTGGAAGAAGCTGCTTAAGCAAGTAAGCATTGTGAAAAGACAGAAAGCGTGGGTAGTACAATCAATAACTGAGCTCTCACGCATGACACTCCAACAGCCACTGTCGTGTTGCTTCAAGGAAGGGAGAAAGGGGAAAGGAAAAGAAAGAGTAAAAGAAAAAATTTGTCAAAGCTTCGCATTTTCTAATCTCTCTTGTCCTGGTGGCAAACCACACAGGCTGTGTCACGTAGAACACATAATTCCAAACAGACTCAGCTGACGGTCCCCAAGCCAGGAGGTGCACACAGTGAATCACAACAAGGTGCTATTAAAATAAGCAATTTCTATCAGCCATTCAGACTAGAAAATAGAAGAAGCAAAACAACAGAGGCCATGGATCAAAATACTAAACTAATCAAGGAGAGGGATGGGCCTGAAATGATATTCCTCTACTCACGCTCACATACAGGAACACTGCTATTCCAATGGCCTTCCATCCCAACCAAGACACAATGACTGGAAGAACTGCCTTTTAATCGGAACCTAAAAAAGAAAATGGCCATGAGTAGGCAAGTTGTTTTGGTCAAAGTGCCATTCAATTTGCAGTCTGAGACTCAGCCAAAAACTCAGGATTTTGAGAATCCGAAACCAGCAGGTGGCAGAGTCCTTTTGGGAAAATCACAGCCTCTGGGAAGGGAACAACACAGAATAGTAAAGCACAGTGACTTGGTCACACGGTTGTCCTGGTTTGGCTGAGGAAGACAGCCACGGTGCAGCTGCCATCTCCCTGACCTTGGACTCAGTGTCACTGCTCATACCATCAGGAATCTGGTAAACTCATTCACTGTCATCGCTGAAGACCTGGGCAATATCCCCCTAATGGGATGTTAGACAAGCAAGGGAAACAGCTCCCAGCTTGGACTGGAAAAGCAGAGAGCAATCGGAAAGAGGACAGAGGTTGTTCTTTAGTCTCTACGTTCGCGTTGGCTGTGAAGAGGGCTCACAACAACAAGGTGGGCTGGTGAAGAGTAAGTGAATATTCTAGGGGAAAAGGGAAAGAAGTAACACAACCACTTTTTATGAAATCATCTAAAATTTGCAATGTACATTGGGCCCTAAATCTTATCAGGTGCTGGTATTTGGTGGCTGCTGAGGATTCCTTGGAACATTCTGAGAGCAGGAGCTTTGTTGCCCATGGTTGATAGTTCCCAGGCAGAGTTACGCACACTGTGAAAAGTGCTAAATTCAAAAAACCAAGGCAATAACCTCTTCTAGAATATTAGCACCAGCCACCATGATCCCATTTCAGAGTCCAAGGCCCATTACTAACCATGTGATATATGATTGGGGTGTTTCGAAGTTTATTCTTGGGGCTGACACTGTGGCATAACAGGTAAAGCTGCCGCCTGCAGTGCCGGCATCCCATATGGGCACCGGTTCAAGTCCCGGCTGCTCTTCTTCTGATCTAGCTCTCTGTTATGGCCTGGGAAAGCAGTAGAAGATGGCCCAAGTCCTTGGGCCCCTGCACCCGCATGGGAGACCTGGAAGAATCTCCAGACTCCTGGCTTTGGATTGGTGTAACTCCAGCTGTTGTAGCCATTTGGGGACTGAACCAGAGGATGGAAGACTCCCCTCCCCCTCCCCCTGCCTCTATCTGCCTCTGCCTCTCTGTAACTCTGTCTTTGAAATAAATAAATAAATAAATAAATAAATAAATAAATAAATCTTTTTTAAAAATAGTTCATTTGTCCCTTACTCTTACTTACTATAAGCCCTTCAAAAAGTTAATCTCCCTGAACATTTAGATTTATTTATTTATCTTTATTTATTTGAATGGCAGGCATGTGCACATGCACATAAACACACACACACACACAGAGGAAGAGGGAGAAGGGGAGGGAGAGAGAGAGAGAGAGTATTGATCTTCCATCTGCTGGTTTACTCCCCAGATGGCTGCAATAGCCTGGCTAAAGCCAGTAACTCCATCAGGGTCTCCCATGTGGGTAGCAGGAACCCAATTACTTGAGCCGTCACCTGCTGCTTCCCAGGGTGCACATTAGCAGGAAGCTGGATTGGAAGAAGAGACGGGACTCAAAGCTAAGCACTCGGATATGGGATTCAAGCATCCCAGGCAGTGGCTTAACCCTGTGTGCTCTGTTTGCCTCTGAGTATTTTTTAAAGCCACATAAAACCTTCCCTTTTTGAAAAACCTCTAACCTTAATATCAATGCCCTGTTAGTCAGGCAAGCCCACACTCACCCTTCCTCACAGACAAAGGACACTTTGGCTCCAAGCTGGAGATTAAGTGGAAATAACACACGGCCATTAGGGAGTTGGTCCAGGAAGTAATCACAAGATTTCACTAGGAGGGAAAGAAAAACAAGGAGAAGTGACAGTGGTACGTGAAGAATAAGGGCACAAGCTGACAACGCCAGGTGAGTGTTCAGGCACCTGCACATGTCGGGGCTGCGGGGCTCCAGGTTCCCTGTGGTGTGCAGCGCAGGGAAGCAGCCCCTCTGAGGTCATAGCCAGGCTCACAGCTGTAGGTCACTTCCTGTCCAGGGGAGAAGACGTCCCTGTTGCTCTGGGTGTGCTCCCCATGCAGGATTTCTGGAGGTGGCTGACACACTGGGGAAAGAGAACCAAAGGACTATTAATTGTGTGAAATTAACTTCTCTTCAAAGAGGATAATTACAGATCTACATGTAAAAGAAAATTTAGTAGACTACCACCCTTATTTTACTGATGACAAAACACACACACACATGCACACACACACACACACACACGGTCTCTTTAAAAGCCACAACAGTGGTACATGTAGAAAACTGACTAGAACCAAGGTATCCTTAGTTCACTGATTTCCATATGAAGAACTCATGTATACAATAGAGTGCATGACAGATGGTTCTCTCTAGAATACTTCCAATTTCTGTTCCCCCAGTAAAAAAAAAAAAAAAAAAGAAAGAAAGAAAAGAAAGAAAATTGTTAGGACTGATGGAGCAATAAGTCTTCATACTTCCTTTTCAGGAAGTATCACCAATGTGCAGTTCCACACCTGAGGAGTGCCCATGCCTGTGTCATTAGTGGATTCCCCATCACCTGCCAAACCCTGAGCACACAGGTTCATGTATCTATTCACACCTCCTTTCAAGTCCTCTCTCAGTGGCCATCTGACTCCAGTTGGTGGGGAATTTGTTTCCTTCCATGCTCTATAGAACCAGGCGCTCCTCAACTACCCACTTCATTGCAGTGAGAAGATGGGCAAGCACTGAACAAGCTCTTCTGAAAACCCCACCATCATCAGCATGAGAATGCACGGCATACGGAATGTTGTTCCTGAGTCTCTTTTAATACAATCGGTTTGAACTCAGAGAACCAGAATGTATTTGGGTCTCAAGAAAATTATATAAAAGCATTGTAAAATAAAAATAAGTCATTTTACTTCGGCTTTGGGCAGGTTAGTTCCCATCTCTGGACTGTTTTCTGCCTAGTGTGAAATGGAGATTGGCCTAGAGTAACTGAGTTCCTAAGGAATTTAAAAATATTCTGAAGCTGTAGAATCCATTTTCAGGGCTCAACACCTCAGCATTTCCCTAGACAAGTAAAATACACTGTGATGTGATATTCAAGTGCTGTACTAGTTGACTGACAGCTGGCCCCCCTGCCTCACACTTCTATATGCTTCTTTGACTGCTAGGGGTGGAAGTATGGAAACTACAGTTGCTTGCCTTTCTTGGCAGCTGGGCTGTGGCTCCTTCTACTAGTTGAAGGCATATATAGCACATTAAAAGGCTGGCAGATGACAGCAACCATTCTGTTATGAGGGGTGGCTTGGGCAGTCGTAGCTGTCAGCTGCAGCAACTTTAATTCTAGCAGTGCCAATGACTTTGGCTTCAGCAACATCAGCTATGTTCTGGCAGCAGCAGCGGTGGCCGGGGCTGGGCCTTTCAGCAGTGAGCACAGGGTGCTGTGCTCCAGGTCTGGAGCAACAGCCGTTCTGGCAACTCTGCCATCCTCCATTTGCTCTTTCTGTCCTTCCAAAGTCTTTCCAGCCTATTACCTGCATGAAATCCCTCATTCCTCAAAGAATCGAGGGTAGCTCAGGTTTCCTGATGGGCCCAAGCTCTGAAGTCAGGCAGATTTGGGTTCCAGTCTTCAGTCTGCAAATTAGTGTTGGTTTCATCCAAGTTATCTAACCTCTCTAAGACTCACTTTCTCTGTAAAACATGAAAAGAATGATAACCGCCTAGTGGTTTGGTTTTAAGGGTAAAATGAACATGTAGTCGGTATTGTAGTTCCTGGTTGGAGGACTCATTCATTGCATATGTGCAATGTATGCAATTATCATGCTCACAGGTAAGACACTGGAGGCTGCAGACAGTGATTTGGGCAGAGACCTGTTTATTGGAATCTCGAGGAAACATCATACTCCTTGCCCACCTTTGGCTTTGCTTCTCAGTTTGAACACATGTGCATACGCACGCACGCACACACACCTTTTCAATTTCATGTTCTCTCCCAAGAAAGTTCACTCATTTGACCTTCTCACCACCCACTTCTCCCATAGAACAAACACTGATCTCACCTGCAACAAGTCGCACCATTTGGAGCCCCTCCAAGGCCCCAGTGAGACTCACCCCTGGAGCAGTGCGGCAGCTCGGGTTCCCATTTGTTTAAGGCTTTGCACCGCACTTGGCTGGGTCCTTGCATGACGAAGCCAGGCTGACACTTCAACTCCACGATTTCAGTTAAGGAAAACAAGTTCTTGAGTTCAGATACAATGACTGCATTTTCCACGTCTGGAGGTGTACATTTATTAGGTTCAACGCACTGAGGAGGGGGGCTGCTCCAGATGCCAACCTGATCATCATTGCTGGTACAATATATGGAGGGCTCCCCAATGAGGTCAAACAGCTTTTTCCGGCTCTTTCCAACATTGCAGGAATAGGTCACTACTGTTCCATATGGAAAATCTTCTTTATCAAAGCTGTGGAAATTTCCATTGGCAATGGCTGGGGGTGGCTTACAAGAAATACCTGGGAAAAGGGAAAAGCAGATTAAATACCAGTGAATTTTAAATAACAAGGAAGAAAAAATCTAAGAAGGCACTAAACTGTTGTTATTTTAAAGTTTATTTATTTTCATTTATTCAAAAGGCAGAGAGAGATCCTCTATCTGCCGGTTCACTCCCCAAATACCCACAATAGCCAGGACTGGGCCAGGCCTAAACCAGAAGCCAGGAATTCTGTGGGTGGCAAGCACCCAAGTACCTGGACCATCATCTGCTGCCTCTCAGGTGTGCATTAGCAGGAAACTGCATGGGATATGGAGGTGGGACTCAGTCCCAGGCATTCTGATATGGGATGCAGACATCCAAGTGGTGGCTTGATCCACTGAACCACAACAGTAATTATTTGATTTTTGCTAACACATAGGTATGTTTTCACAAAGTTGTAACTTAGGTGGTCATGTTAGCATGTGTGTCTTCCTTCCCTATTTATATTATTTCCCACAAACATATGCGTTTATTAACATAATCCACATTCTCTGAATTTTTTAAAAATTAATTTCTTTATTTATTTGAAAGACAGAATTATGGAGAGAGAAGGGGACAGAGAGATAGATCTTCCATCTGCTGTTTTACTCCCCAGATTGCCATAATGACTGTGGCTGGGCCAGGTTGAAGTTAAGAGCCAGGAGCTTCATCTGGGTCTCCCATGTAGGTGCAGGAGCCCTAGCACTTGCACCATCTTCTGCTGCTTTTCTTAGGCCATTAGTAGGGAGCTGGATTGGAAATGGAGCAGCCATATGGGATGCTGGCATTGCAGGCAGCAACTTAACCTGTTACACCAAAATGGTGGCCTCCATTTTTTTATTTTTAAATAGCACTTTGATTAGATTATTCTAGAGTTCACACAGTTTTCCTCTACTCTTTTCTACTTGCTTTTTTTAAATTTTTTTTATTTTTTGACAGGCAGAGTGGACAGTGAAAGAGAGAGAGAGACAGAGAGAAAGGTCTTCTTTGCCGTTGGTTCACCCTCCAATGGCCGCTGTGACCAGCGCACCACGCTGATCCAAAGCCAGGAGCCAGGTGCTTCTCCTGGTCTCCCATGGGGTGCAGGGCCCAAGCACTTGGGCCATCCTCCACTGCACTCCCAGGCCACAGCAGAGAGCTGGCCTGGAAGAGGGGCCACCGGGACAGAATCCGGCGCCCTGACCGGGACTAGAACCCGGCGCCCTGACCAGGACTAGAACCCGGTGTGCCGGCGCCGCAGGCAGAGGATTAGCCTAGTGAGCCGCGGCGCCGGCCTCTACTTGCTGTCTTAATTTTCTTTTGCTGTTATTAACTGAGTATAGGTTTATTTAAAAAAAAAAAGAAGAAACTTCACTAAAAGGTAAATGATAAGGAGAGAAACTACAAATACACAGCAGTGGGAAACAGAATTTGAATATATTTGAACACATGAGAATAGTTATGATACTGAAGATAACTCTAAATAACACAAATGAAAACAAAAATTGGCAATATTCACCTATGACGATGTTGAAAGTTAGTATTGACTAAGAAACTTGTAAGAATGGAAAAAGAACTCATTGATAAGTTCTATCAAACTTTTAAGTAAGATATAACTCCAAATATAATTTCAAGTTTGATATCATAACATGATGGCTATGTAAAAGCAATCACATATTAGTCTACAAAGCCTATAAATAATTTTAAAATGCAGAAGTAGTATATCATTGTTGTTATATTGCTATAAAATAGCAGTGAACAACTTTCCACCAAAATCTCATAATACTTGAAACTAAATAATTAAAATTCTTAAGGAGATCAGCTGCCACACTTCTCTCTCCCCACAGAAAGACTATAAATGCTGGAAAGTTTAAAAATATATATCAGAGATCTAATAAAATAGTTAAGCCAATATGGGCCAAGATGTGGGAGAAGATGAAAATTTAGGCAAGAGTTGGCTGCTTTCCCCTTGGGAATGGGGAGCTGACTGGGAATGGGGAAATGTAATGTGTGTAGACGTTCAAGTCTCACAAGTCAAAGGACAAAAATTGGAGCCCAAGGCCTGCCAATTATGGGAGCTCTGTTAATATCTTCTGATGTTTACAGAGACCACAAGGAGCTCGGTCATGGGAGTCAAATTTAATTGAAAGTAAACTGACTACCTCAACAAGTGGAGCTGTTCTTCAACTATTGTAGATGGTTCAGAAAAATCAGAGCTCTGAGAGTGAATTAAAGCATGCTAGACTGCCAGTGTCCTCTGGTGCCAGACAGAAACAAAGCAAAATCCCTCTGGAAGAAAGGAGGTATCAAGACCTCGAAATTATTTCTCTGGACAAATTTTCAGATAGTGCTCGCATCCTCAGCACATATATTAAAACTGGAATGATACAGAGAAAATTAGCATGACTTCTACGCAAGGATGACATGCAAATTCTTGAAGCATTCCTTATTTTTAAAAAAATTCAAAGATAGTGCCTGATATACAATTAAAGGTAACCAGAGACTTGAAGAGATAGCATGAAAAAAAATCAGCACAATCTTCAGATATTGGAATTTTCACTCACAGATTTAAAATAACCATGTTTACTTGTTCAAGGACGTAATACACAAAACTGAAACTTTAGGTAGGAACTTAGAGACTATTAAAAAGAGCAAAGAAAATTTGGAAAGCAACTAAATATATACTTCAGATTTATAAAATATAATCACTGAAATTAAGAATTTGGATAGGATTAACAGCAGGTTAGACACAGTTGAAGAAAAATCAGTAAACTGAAAGCTAGAACAGGATGAAGTATACAGAAAAATGCACAAAGAGACAAAAGGACCAAAATACTAATAAAGAAACTTATGGGGGAGAAGGATATGTTTAAGTCAAGTCCCACAATGAGAAGACAGAGAGAATGGAGCATAAACAACTTTTTAAAAATAAAAAATTAAGAATTCTCCAAGACTGACGAAACCCATCATCAAATCATAATTCAAGAAACCATATAAATGGAAGTATTTGTGTATAATGCAAATACAAATAAGTCTCTCCCTTGAAACATCATGATATAAAATCAAGTACAGTAATTTTTTTTCAACTTTTATTTAATAGGTATAAATTTCCAAAGTACAACTTTTGGATTATAGTGGCTTTTCCTCCCATAACCTCCCTCCCACCCGCAACCATCCCATCTCCCACTCCCTCTCCCATCCCATTCTTTGTCAAGATTCATTTTCAATTATCTTTATATACAGAAGATCAACTTAGTATATACTAAGTAAAGATTTCAACATACTATACTGTACCCACACAGATACACAAAGTATAGAGGACTGTTTGAGTAGCAGTTTTACCATTAATTCGCATAGTACAACACATTAAGGACAGAGATCCTACGTGGGGAGTAGGTGCAGAGTTGACTCCCGTTGTTGATTTAACAATTGACACTCTTATTTATGACGTCAGTAATCACCCAAGGCTCTTGTCATGAGCTGCTAAGGCTATGGAAGCCTCTTGAGTTCACAAACTCTGATCTTATTTAGGCAAGGCCATAGTCAAAGTGGAAGTTCTCTCCTCCCTTCAGAGAAACATACCTCCTTCTCTGATGGCCCATTCTTTCCACTGGGATCTCACTCACAGAGATCTTTCATTTAGGTCATTTTTTTTTTTTTTTTTGCCACATTGTCTTGGCTTTCTATGCCTGAGAAACTCTCATAGGCTTTTTAGTCGGATCTGAATGCCTTAAGGACTGATTCTGAGACCAGAGTGTTGTTTAGGACTTTTGCCATTCTGTGAGTCTGCTGTGTATCCCACTTCCTATGTTGGATCATTCTCTCCTTTTTAATTCTATCAGTTATTATTAGCAGTCACTAGTCTTGTTTATGTGATCCCTTTGACAATTAATCCTATCATTAGGATCAATTATGAACTTAAACTGATCACTTTGACTAGTGAGATGGCATTGGTACATGCCACCTTGATGGGATTGAATTGGAATCCCCTGGCACGTTTCTAACTCTACCATTAGGGGTAAGTCCGAGTGAGCATATGCCAAACTGTACATCTCCTCCCTCTCTTATTCCCACATATTTAACAAGGATCACTTGTCAATTAAATTTAAATGCCTAAGAATAATTGTGTGTTAATTAAAAGAGTTCAACCAATGGTATTAAATAGAACAAAAAAAAAAAATACTAAAAGGAATAAAGTAGTAAGTTGTTCCTTGACAGTCAGGACAAGGGCTGATCAAGTCATTGTTTCTCATAGTGTCAGTTTCACTTCTACAGGTTTCCTTTTAGGTGCTTGGTTAGTTGTCACAGATCAGAGAGAACATATGATATTTGTCCCTTTGAGACTGGCCTATATCACTCAGCATGATGTTTTCCAGATTCCTCCATTTTGTTGCAAATGACCATATTTTATTTTTTTTTTACTGCTGTATTCTATAGAGTACATATCCCATAATTTCTTTATCTAGTCTTCTGTTGATGGGCATTTAGGTTGATTCCTTGTCTTAGCTATTGTGAATTGAGCTGCAATAAACATTGTGGTGCTCCCTGTTAGGAATTTGGAAAACATTATGCTGAGTGAAATAAGCCAATCCCAACGGGACAAATACCACTTGTTCTCCTCAATAGGACTAAGAACCAAAGGGATCACATACACAAGACTAGTGTCTGCAAATACTAGCTGATAGAATCAAAAAGGGAGAGAACGATCCAACATGGGAAGTGAGATACACAGCAGACCCATAGAATGGCAGATGTCCTAAACAGCACTCTGGCCTCAGAATCAGCCCTTAAGGCATTCGGATCCGGCTGAAAAGCCCGTGAGAGTATTTCAGGCATGGAAAGCCAAGACACTCTGGGGGAAAAAAAAATGAAAGATCTCCGCGAGTGAGATCCCAGTGGAAAGAATGGGTCATCAAAGAAGGAGGTACCTTTCTCTGAAGGGAGGAGAGAACTTCCACTTTGACCATGGCCTTGTCTAAATATGATCAGAGTCGGCGAACTCAGGGGTCTTCTATAGCCTTGGCAGCTCATGACAAGAGCCTAGGGTGATTACTGATGCCATAAACAAGAGTGTCAATTTGTTAAGTCAACAACAGGAGTCACTGTGCACTTACTCCTCATGTAGGATCTCTGTCCTTAGTGTGCTGTACATTGAGATTTAATGCTATAACTAGTACTCAAACAGTATTTTTCACTTTATGTTTCTGTGTGGGAGCAAACTGTTGAAATCTTTGATGTATGCTAAACTGATCTTCTGTATATAAAGAGAAACGAAAATGAATCTTGATGTGAATGGAAGGGGAGAGGGATTGGGAAAGGGGAGGGTTGCGAGTGGGAGGGATGTTATGGGGGGGAGGCCATTGTAATCCATAAGCTGTACTTTGGAAATTTATATTCATTAAATAAAAGTTTAAAAAAAATAAAGTAAAATATCTAAAATATGGAAAAAAATTGAGGTGCAGACAGCTCTTTTATTTGCCAATTTAATTTCCTTTGGGCAAATTCCAAAGAATGGGATGGCTGGGTCATGTGGTAGGGCTATATTCAGGTTTCTGATGAATCTCCAAACTGTCTTCCATAGTGGCTTTATCAGTTAGCATTTCATGTGTCTGTTGGCCATTTGGATTTCCTCTTTTGAAAAATGTCTATTGAGTCCTTGGCCCATCTCTTAAGTGGGCTGTTTGTTTTGTTATTGTGGAGTTTCTTGATCTCTTTGTAGATTCTGGTTAATAATCCTCTATCGGTTGCAAAATTTGCAAATATTTTTCCCACTCTGTTGGTTGTCTCTTCACTTTCCTGATTGTTTCTTTTGCAGTACAGAAACTTCTCAATTTGATGTAATCCCGATTGTTAATTTTGGCTTTGACTGCCTGTGCCTCCGGGGTCTTTTCTAAGAAATCTTTGCCTGTGCCTATATCTTGGCAGGGTTTCTCCAATGTTCTCTAATAATTTGATGGTGTCGGGTCATAGATTTAGATCTTTAATCCATGTTGAGTGGATTTTTGTGTAAGGTATAAGGTAGGGGTCTTGCTTCATGCTTCTGCACGTGGAAATCCAGTTTTCCTAGCACCACTTGTTGAATAGACTGTCCTTGCTCCAGGAATTGGTTTTAGATCCTTGACCAAATATAAGTTGGCTGTAGATGTTTGGGTTGATTTCTGGTGTTTCAATTCTGTTCCATTGGTCTATCCATCTGTTTCTGTACCAGTACCATGCTGTTTTTGAATATAACTGCCCTGTAGTATGTCTTAAAATCTGGTATTGTGATGCCTCCGGCTTTGTTTTTGTTGTACAAGATTGCTTTAGCTATTCGAGGTCTCCTGTGCCTCTATATGAATTTTAGCATCATTTTTTCTAGATCTGAGAAGAATGTCTGGTATTTTGATTGGTATTGCATTGAATCTATAAATTGCTTTTGGGAGAATGGACATTTTGATGATATTGATTCTTCCAATCCATGAGCATGGAAGATTTTTCCATTTTTTGGTATCCTCTTCTATTTATTTAAAGTTTTGTAATTCTCATCGTAGAAATCTTTGACATGGTTGGTTAAGTTTATTCCAAGATATTTGATTGTTTTTGTAGCTATTGTGAATGGGGTTGATCTCAGAAGTTCTTTCTCAGCCGTGGCATTGCCTGTGTATACAAAGGCTGTTGATTTTTGTGCATTGATTTTATATCCTGCTACTTTGCAAAACTCTTCTATGAGTTCCAATAGTCTCTTAGTAGAGTTCTTTGGATCCCCTAAATAAAGAATCATATCATCTGCAAAGAGGGATAGTTTGACTTCCTCCTTCCCAATTTGTATCCATTTAATTTCTTTTTCTTGCCTAATGGCTCCAGCTAAAACTTCCAGTACTATATTGAATAGCAGTGGTGAGAGTGGGCATCCCTGCCTGGTACCAGATCTCAGTGGAAATGCTTCCAACTTTTCCCCATTCAATATGATGCTGGCCATGGGTTTTTCATAAATTGCCTTGATTGTGTTGAGGAATGTTCCTTCTATTCCCAATTTACTTAGAGTTTTCATCATGAAAGGGTGTTGTATTTTATCAAATGCTTTCTCTGCTGGTAGGAGTGGTATAGTAAAGATGGTGCAATATTTCATTGCACTATTCAGGATGGCATGCAATTTAAAACTTATGGATTATTTATGTGTTAACTTTCTCATTTAGTATTTTTCTTCTTTTTAAAATATTATTTAAGGTATAAAAACTTTATGCATTTCATATACACAGATTTAGGAACACAGTGGTTCTTCCCACCCTACTCTCTCACCCATGTTCCCACCCTTCTTCCTCCTCACTCTCCTATTCCCACTCTTGATTTTTACAAAGGTCTATTTTCAGTATATGTTATACTCATAAGATGAACCCTACACTAAGTAAAGAGCTCAAAAAATAGTATGAAGAAAAAGAGCACTGAGCCACAGTTGACTTCAGGTCAACTGACACCATGGACAGCAACATTGAGGCTATGAGGGACACTACTGTGTTTAGGAGGGATGCCAAGGTAATAGAGAGGGGCAAGAATTCCCTACAAGGGAAATATAAATAAATAAATGTTTTTAGGAAAACAACAATAATCTCTTGTGAAATACCAAGTATGTGTAAAAGTATGGCAATAAGAAGGAAAAGGTGGGAAGAAATAAATGTAGTTACACTGGGTTCTTGTGTTCTTAAAAGTATAATTGAAATTAGATTAAAATAAATCAAAGATATATACTGTCATCTTTGATTAACCGTTAAGGAATAAGAAAGTAAAGTATAGGCCGGCACCGTGGCTCAATAGGCCAATCCTCCACCTGCGGCGCCGGCACCCCAGGTTCTAGTCCTGGTCGGGGCGCCGGATTCTGTCCCGGTTGCTCCTCTTCCAGGCCAGCTCTCTGCTGTGGCCCAGGAGTGCAGTGGAGGATGGCCCAGGTTCTTGGGCCCTGCACCCACATGGGAGACCAGGATAAGCACCTGGCTCCTGGCTTCGGATCAGCGCAGTGCACCGGCTGCAGCGCGCTGGCCGCAGCGGCCATTGGAGGGTGAACCAACGGCAAAGGAAGACCTTTCTCTCTGTCTCTCTCTCTCTCTCACTGTCCACTCTGCCTGTCAAAAAATAAATAAATAAAAATAAAAAATAAAAAAAGAAAGTAAAGTATAACTTAAAAACTATTGGGAAGAAAATATGCAATAGTAAAATACTTGATTAATTTAAAATGTGAGAAATGAGGACTGAAAGAACAAAAAATGAGAAAATAGAAAAAAGTAACCAGGTTTTAGGCTTATACCAACTACATCAGTAATCAAATTAAACTTACATGTTCTAAATGCCCCAGTTGAAAACAAAGATTTTTGGACTGAATAAAACAACAGAATCTGACTAGATGATACTTGGAAGAGACAAGCTTTAAATATAAAATGGCCAAAAGCAACAGTGTTGTGTGTGTGTGTGTGTGTGTGTAATATAAAAACAAAGAACAGGGGCCGGCACTGTGGCGAAGCAGGTAAGGCCACCGCCTGCGGTACCAGTATTCCAAATGGGCACCAGTTCGAGACCCGGCTGCTCTACTTCCAATCCAGCTCTCTGCTATGGCCCGGGAAAGCAGTAGAGGATGGCCTTAGTCCTTGGGCTCCTGAACACGCCTTGGGGAACCCAGAGGAAGCTCCTGGCTCCTGGCTTCAGGTTGGCGCAGCTCTGTCCATTGCGGCCATTTCAGGGGGGAAGACTTCTTTCTCTGCCTCTGCCTCAGCCTCACCATGACTCTGCCTTTCAAATAAATAAATAAATCTTTAAAAAATGAAAAATAAAATGATAGAGGAGTTAACTAAAATTAAATAAAAAAAAGAACAGCAACAAAAAAGGAACCTTGGTATAGCTATATTAATAACAATGAAGATTTTTAAGGCAAGTAGTGTGAGAAATAAAGAGAGAATTTCATTATGAAAAAAGAGGCAATTCAGCAGGAAGGTACAATAAACCAAAATTTTATTGCATGTAATAACATAGGTTTAAAATACATGAAGTAAAATTGCTATAACTGAAAAGACAGACAAATCCATAGTCATCATTCAAGTTTGTAGTGGGTTAAATGGTGACTCCTCCCCAACCCAACACATTTGAGGAGGCCAGATAATCTGAATGCCCAAATAGGACAAGGCGATTAAAAGAAAAGCAAATTATAATCCAATATCAACACAATTTTCCAGACAAAATGTTAGGAAATTCAATCCAACTATTTTTGAAGTATGATACCAAGATCAAAGTGGGGCTTGTGTTGGCTCACTTAAAAATTTTAAACAAACCTTGCAACGCTAGAACAAAAGAGATTGGCAAACACACACATACCCCTCACACAGGATAATCATATATAACACATCATGATCATGATGTGTTTCTTCTAGGAATTCAGATTTAGTTTGCCTCTAAAAGATCAAGCAATATATAACCTTAAAAGTAAAGGAGAAACAGGGGCAGCAGTTTGAGTTCCTGCTGCTCCATCAGCTCCCTGCTCATGTGCCTGGGAAAACATCGAAAGATGGCCTGTTTGTGCTCCTGCCACCCATGTGGGAGACCTGGATGGAGTTCATGGCTCCTGGCTTCAACCTGGCACAGCCTTGCCAGTTGCAGTCATTTAGGGAATGAACTAGAATATCTTGATTTCTATCTCTCTCTCCCTCTCTCTAATTGCCTTTCAAATAAATAAATCTTTTTAAAAAAGGAGAAACAGATGATTATATCAATATGTACAGGGATAAATTAGAATATACATTCATAATAAATCATTTAGCAATCTTTTATAAAAGATTTATTTAATTTATTTGAAAGGCAGACTTACAGAGAGAAGGAAGAGACAGAGAAAAAGAGATATTCCATTAGCTGGTTCACTTCCCAGATTGCCGCAATGGTCAAGGCTGGGCCAGACCAAAGCAAGGAGCCAAGAGCTTCATCTAGGTTTCCCATGTGGGTGCAGAAGCCCAAGCACTTGGGCCACCTTCTGCTGCTTCCTCAGGCGCATTAGCAGGGAGCTGGATGGGAAGTAGAGCAGCCAGGAATGGAACCATTACCTGTATGGCTGGCAGGAATTGCAGGTTGTGGCTTAACCTGCTATGCCACAGTGCTGGCTCCTCATTTAGCAAATTAAAAATTAAGGGAAATTTTCTTAATCTGATAAAGGATATCTTACAAAAAACCTGTGCTAAACATCATGTTTTATGATGACAATTAAAAACATAATATCATCTCTTCTATTTGACATTGTATTGGAGGTTTTGGCCAATACAATAAAGCGTAAGAAATAAATAAAAGATCCAAGAAAGGAAAAGATTTTTAAAATTGATATAATTCAAAGATGACTACATAGCAAATTCAAAATAATATGCAGATCAATAATTTAATTTATAAGTAAATTTAGCAAGATTTCTGAGGTCCAAGATCAAACAAGTTCATGTCTAAGGAGTAAACAATTAGAGAAAGAAAATTAAAAAATGATATCTAGTAGCAAATATAATAAAAGATGTAGAAGACATCTATAAGACAGATTAGCAAATATTTCTGAGAGGAGGAATATATCATATTTGTAAATCTAAAATTCAAAAATACAAATCTCTGCAAATTTTTCTACTGAGTTGATGGAAACCCAGTACAAACTCACGTAGGATTCTTTTTGTGGAAATTGACAAGGTGATTCTAAATTTCATATGGAGACACAGCCAAGAATCACCAAGTAAGTCTTGAAAAAACACATAAGTAGAGGTTTTATGCCACCAAATATCAAATCTTGGTATAATGCTATAGTAAGTAAAATAAGGTTGTCATTAGAGCAGTGGAACAGAACTTCTCTGGAATAAGACAAATATATAGCGTCACCTAACTCATGATCACAGTGACATTGCACTACAGTATGAAGGAAATAGTCTTTCAAGTATTTAGTATTAGATCAAATGCCTGCCCTCAGTATAGCACAGTGCTGGGTCCTCCACAGCTTCATGAAACTTGACGCGTATCAGTTTTAAAGGTCTTTACTAGTTTTCCTAGCAGAAAGATTATTATACCAAAGACGGTAGAACCATGTAATTCCAAGTTAACTGATATAAAAAATAAGGGTTAAAGGATCTTATGCATTTAAGAGCCCAGATTTAGAAAAGCTATATTCCAGGATAAGGAAGAACTTAAGGAAACGTTGCCAAGAACACCTCAGGAACATCTGACAGCATGACTGCTGTCTTCAGCTTCCTGGAGGACAGACTCTACAAAAGGAATTCAACAAATATTCCTATAGTTCCTAAGGAAAATTAGACTCTACTAATGAAAAATAATATAAACTTATTTCAGCTCACTCTCACAGATTGGCGTTTCACTGTCCCAGGCAACACCGTCACTTGAGAGGAGGCATTCAGCATAGGGTTGGCCAATGAGCCGATACCTAGACACAAAGAATAAGGCACATTATCATCTAAATACCAGGCAATCTGCCTGCTTCCACTGCTGCTTCCCAGAGATTACAGACTTGGAGATTTCAGAAGGAGATTTTCCACTTTTCATAAACTGCAGATCTTCTTGATTTTCTTCATGCTTTTTCACCTGGATGGGGTTTCTCTTCTGTATTATGACATATTTTTGTATAACCTAAGGGAAATTATAGTTATTTCCTACAAGTCTCACTTTTTAAAAGCTATTCAAGTTTCTTGAGTGCAATCTCTCTCTCTCTCTCTCTCTCTCTCTCTCTCTCTCTCTCTCACACACACACACACACACACACATTCATGCACATATTCATACTATAGGTATTTCCTCTGCCTTGTAAGAATTAATGTGTGAATTCATGAGTGAATGTTTTATTAATGACACTCATCAAACTGGAACCAGAGGAAATCCAAGTTGACCAGAGAGTTGAATGTTTATATTTGATCCTTAAAATGTTAAAGTCAACAACTCTCAGTTAGAACACTACAAACTCTTCAAAGTGTGCCATACATTTTAGAAACTTGTAATATTCATTTTACCTGAGATCATGTACATATTTCATTAGATTGAGACCCAAGCTTGTCATTTTTGGAGGGGGCAGTAATATAAATGGTACTGTTTTTACTTTCCAATTCCACTTGCTCCTTGCTGGCATATAGGAAAGAACAGCTATGCAGTTTTATATACGCACAGATTCATGCACCTACCACTACCATAAGAACCAGAGCAACTTTCTGTGAGGATAATGAGTAGTCCTTGTGTGATCACACCCACCTTGTTCCTCTTCATTGCCAGTGCTCCACCCCCATTCTTTATCTCTGACAGCCATAATCTGATCCTCCATTTCTACAATTTTGTCATTTTGAAAATGTTGTATAAATAGAATCATACAGTATGTAACCTTATGGATTAGCTTTTTTTCTTTCAGTGTAATCCCCTGAAGATTCATTTAAGTTATTCTTGTATAAATATTCTTCATCCTTGATGTTGACTTGCATTCCTTGGTATGCATCTACCATAGTTCACTTAACCATTACCTATTGAAGGACACCTGGGGAATTTCCAGTTACTGACTATTATGAATAAAGCTACTATGAAGATTCTACACAGTTATTTTGGCAAACATAAATTTTCATTTCTGTAGGAAATTTCTGGTTCTTTAGTAACTGTATATTTAGTTTTAAAGAAATTATCACAGCGTGAGGTGGTATTTTGCTCTAATATGTATTTCTTTGGTGACTAAGGATAAGTATTTTTCACTGCTTATTGGTCCTTTGTAGTTTTTCTTTGGAGAAATGTCTATTCAAGTCTTTGCCTATTGTTAAATTGGTTCGTCTTTACACTGTGGAGTTGTAAGAACTCCTTCTATATTCTGGATATGAGAACTTTATAAATCTATTATTTGCAAATACTTTCTGTCTTATGGGTTGTCTTTCCACCTTCTTGATCGTGTCCTTTGAAGAACAAAATTTTCGTTACTGTTTTGAAGGGCAATTTACCGATTTCTCCTTTGATGTCTTGTGTGGCAGAACAAATTTAGGCAGTCTCCTCCAACAAGCTTAGCTGATCACATTACGAGTAAGATTGAGGCTCTGCCTCCACTATGTGCTGCCTTAGGACAAGCACTGATGGTAGAGTCATACCCTTTGAGCACTTTGTGCTTAGCAGTTTCACTCTGCTATGGGGCAAATTGGGTCCACAAAAGTATATGTTAAGATGTAACCCTCAGTCCCTGTCCATGTGATCTCATCGGGAAATAGGTCTGACCTGAGGTGTAACTAAAAGGAAATATTTCTGTATTATAGTTGTTTCTGAACCAAGAGGTATTGCTGCCAACTCACCCTTTATTGCAAGAATAATTAATTCTGGACCCAAACTGGATGTTTGAGACTATGTGCACCATGCCATTAATAGGGTCTGGAGGATTTTCACATGATTTGCCTATGGGGAAGAAACAGAACGTTGGAACCAGGTAGAATAATATGATCTTTTTTGTTGTTATTGTTTTAATTTTGATACATAAAGGCCGCACCTGACTGTTGCTTACCGGAAAGCTTATGCAGCTGTGATGATTTCACAGATTTTGCAACCTTGAGGAACTCACCGGACAGTCATAGGGCCAGGTACTAGTTAGCATCCCTTTCCAAAAGATCTTCCCGCCTTCCTGTCTCATCCTTCCACTGCTCAGAAAAATGCTAAATTTCATCTGTCACTGAAGTTTTATGCTTTGTAACTCAGAGTCTGGTTACTCATTTTCAAGTTATTCAACACACGTTTTCTTTCCTTCTGAATCAATTGGTACTTAGTTCTAGTTATGAAAATGGGTTACCCCTAGGAAATGGGGATTTTCCTTCCATCATGCCTTGTGGTAGTCATCTCTCATGAAATTAACTTATAGGAAGGTTCCAGGAACTCAAAGCACAAGCGAGACATGATTATAAGAATAACAAACATTACAATGTTGGGCAAAGTTATTAAGTCATATGTGTCTTACTCGTAAAATTTGAAGAAATTGAATCAGACCTTACAATGCATGACCTGCAGAAAGGAATTTCTAATCCAGGGCTACTCAGCTACTCACGTTTACACTGGTCTTCTACCTCTGTCCAGACCGCGTTTTCTTGGCAGGTGATAGAGAACCGCCTCTTGATGTAACCGGGACGACATTCATACTTCAGAGTTGTCCCAATGGGAAACTCAGACTCCTCCGTTGGATTTGTAGGCTTGGCAAAAGGAAACTGTGGGGCCTTGCATTGACCTTGGGATCAAGACCACAGCAATGTCAAGGTTAACAGAGAAGCTTCTACTGCATTTCCTCTTTCATAATGGTACACTTTCACAATGGTAAAAATGATTGATTCCTTTAGTGGCCACCTTAGAAAAGAGCTTTTTAAAACCCTTTAATCAGTATCCACCTGTTATAAAGTCTCTGCTATTTTGAAGGCAATTAAGGTATATAACAGGGTACTTCAAAAAGTTTGTGGAAAATGCACGTTATGAAAAAATCCAGCATAGATTTCAAACATTTCCCCCCCAAAATAGACTTATCATTGAATTCCATTTTCCCACAGACTTTTGTAAATTGTATACAATCTTCCACTGAAGGGGAAACTCCGGTTCACAGCTTCAAGTTCTAGTCAATCAGAAAGTGCTTGTGCTTGCGCTTCCTCTCTCCCATCCTCATGGACCCTTCTATCCTGCAACAAGACCCACTCATGCATTTCACCACCCATCTTCACTCCTGGTGGCCCACCTACATCCAGAGGGTCTACCATCCGCTTCTCATGCCGTTTGTAGCATTAGCATTGGTGGAGGTCTGTTGCCAAGGGAAAAAGCAGCCCAGACTCAACAACTAATGCTATGCTTCACTTTATGGAAGCATACATTTTCTGATGCACATTTTGAATTAAATAATAGACAGCTACTCGCCTGTTAAGGTCTAGTAGGTTAAAGGAATAAGAAATGTTATTTATGGTTAAATACCTTATAATCAAGAGGTATCTGTTGGGAAAATATCATCATTTTACTTTAGTTTTGGAAATCTCTTCTGTTGTTTTATTTTTGCTTCTATTTCTCCTCACTACCTCTGCTAATTAATTCAAGTTATGAAGGCTACATTGAGATCAGATTGCCTTTTATTATTTTTCAAGGAACCAACTTTCATCTTTGCTGATTCTGTTCTAGTTTTATCTTTACTGCTATTTTATCTGAGTTTATTGTTCTTTGTTTAAAATATTTTTTCCTGAGATGATTACCAAGATTTGAAAACTTTTAAGCCTGTCATCATTTCCAAAATACAAACGTGAAACTATGATTTCTATTCTAAGCATAGATTTGGCTGCAGTCCACAAACTTCAATGTGTCATATTTCTTTTTTCAGTTCAATATGTTTAATAATTGCAGTTGCGATTTCTTCATTGACCTTTGGTTCACTTAGAAGATTTGCATAATTTACAAACATTTGAGGAATTTAGGGTGATAAATATCCATTGTCAATTTTTGAAATTGAGTCTTGATTTATGGTCCCATTTATAGTCAATAGCAGTAACTGTAGCATGTGCACTTGTGGAAAACAGTACAGCAGTAGTGGTGCAGTGATTTGAGAATATCAGAGAGTTCTAATTAGTTAGCCATGTCTGTTCAGATCCTCTAGACAGTGTTTTTTTGGGGGAGTTGCTTATTCTATCAAATACTAAGAGTTGTGTTAAAACATTTGCCCATTTCTCCTTCTAATTCTACCCATTTTATATTACATATTTTGAGTTTATTTTATTAGATCAAAATTTTTAATTACTATGTTTTGCTGTAGATTGACCCTCTATCATAATAAGATATTAGTCTTTAGTAATATATTTTTACCTAAAATTTACCTGTCTACTTTATTTGGAAGATCAATGAAAAACAAGAGAGATGGCACCTTTAATTTTATAATATATCAACAATTATTTTAAATGTAAAACACTGATAAAGTTTCACATAAAATTACTTTAAAGGCAAAGATGTGACATTGTCCCATTTTCTAAAGCAGCTTCGTTTTGGTTTGTTTTTGCATAATATATTTTCCATCTATTTATATTCCTCCATTCTCACTTTGAACATGTGTACTGTCTCTTTTAATGAATCGTATAGTTTTTAAATTATTGAGAGTTTCTCAAACTTAGTCCATAGCACCCTTACAGTTTCAGTCATTTATTCCTAATCTAAAAGAAATACATAACAGTATTATTTATTAAATAAGTTCAAACCTTATAATAAGACTGTCCATCACAATCACATAATAATGGGATGTTGAGTACTACCCAACTTCTCCACTTTGGAATCAGACTGGGAACTGCCACTTCCTTTCCTACTCCACATTCATTTTCATGTAATGCTCTTTTTTTTTTTTTAATCACAACTTGCTGAAAACCTAGCTTTATAAATATACAACATCATCAAGAGGAACCTAGTGTGATCTAGTGTTAAAACCAGGAGTTATTCTGAGCTAGTAATTTGTAATTTACACAGTATCTGAGAAATGACAAGTATGGTCATCTCCACTGAAAATTTAAAGTCTTGATTTGCCACTGTGGGTTTTCCATGGCCCTCAGGGCCCCTATGTCCACAGTTTAGGAAATGTCATCCTGTGACAATCTTTGTCTTTCATTGGAATTGTGTGTCAATATTTAATCAACTATTTGGGCTTATATCTGGCATTTTATTATTATTTATTTGCTTGCCTTTTCCATGTTGTTTATTCTATTTTGCAATTACATTTATTATTTTCTTTTATTAGATTAGTTACATATTCTTTTATTTTTCCTTTAGTGATACCATGATCCTTAAATGTAAAAAAAGATTTATTTTATTTATTTGAAAGGCACAGTGACAGAGAGACAGGGAGAGGCAGAAAGAGAGAGGGAGTTGTGGAAAAAGAGAGAGAGAGAGAGAGAGATCTTCCATCAACGGGTTCATTCCCCCAAATGGCTGCTATAGCCATGTCTAGGCCAGGCCAAAGCTAGGAGCCAGGAACTCCCTTCTGATTTCCCATGTGGGTTGGGTCACCATCTTCTACTTCTCCAGGCACATTAACAGGTAGCTGGATGGGAAGCAGAGCCACAATGCTACAAGTGGCAGCTTAACTTGCTGTGCCACAATGCCAGCCCCAATTCTTAATGTATTAACAGCTAATCAGCAATTGTCATTTTACCAACAAGACAAGAACCATAGCAAATGATAACGCCCTTTATTCTTTACTGTCTTTTGTCCTATCATTATTGCTATTTCAGTTCTGGCTGTATTTTAAACCAGCACTTTCCCAGTCAATGTAGATGCTGCAGGCTGTTTGTTGGACTCTACCTATTTGCTTCCAACATCATTAACCCTAATGTTAAGAGACTCTGACACCAGGCTCAGCTAAAATTTTGAAAATCTGTGTAGAAAGGTATAGTGGGCTAAGTAATGACCTCCCAAAGATATACATGCCTTAATCCCTGGAGCCTGAATGTTCCCTTTAAGGTATAAGGACTTTGCAGATGTGATTAGGAATCTTGAGATGGGCAGGTTGTCCTGGATTATCTGGTAGACCCTGATGTAATTGCAAGAGTCCTTATTAGAGGGAGCCAAGAGGGTCAAAGGAGGCAGAAGACGACTATTTGAAGGTGCTACACTGCTGGCTCTGACGGTAGAGGGAGGAAGCTAAGAGCCAATGGCTGTAGGCAGCCTCTGCAAGCAGAAAGAGTAAAGACACCTGTTTTCCCTTGAAGCCTCCATGTGCAATTGAGCCCTGCACATGCATTTTAGACTTTGGTCTCCAGCAGTATAAGAGAACAAATCTTTTTTAAGCCATTAAGTTTTAAGTCATCAAGTTTGGCCGGCGCTGCGGCTCAATAGGCTAATCCTCCGCCTGCGGCGCCGGCACCCCGGGTTCTAGTCCCAGTCGGGGCGCCGGATTCTGTCCCGGTTGCCCCTCTTCCAGGCCAGCTCTCTGCTATGGCCCGGGAGTGCAGTGGAGGATGGCCCAAGTGCTTGGGTCCTGCACCCACAAGGGAGACTGGGAGAAGCTCCTGGTTCCTGGTTTTGGATCAGCGTGGTGCACTGGCCACAGCGGTCATTGGAGGGCGAACCAATGGAAAAGGAAGACCTTTCTCTCTGTCTCTCTCTCTCTCACTGTCCACTCTGCCTGTCAAAAAAAAAGTCATCAAGTTTGTCATTAACATTAGAACATTTGTCATTAGCACTGGAACAATCATGGTGTATAGTGGCAAATACTTTGGATTCATTCAGACCTTTGAACCCAATGTCTTCCAGCGAGGAGGTCTTAGATGAGTTACTTGATGTCTCAAGCCTCATTTGATCTTCACAAAGGGGAAGGTGGATTTACTAGCAGGCTTGCTGGAAAGATCACAGGTAGCATGTGCAAAGCACTTAGTAGCATGTCCTACACAGAAGACACTGGTGAGTTGTTCTTAGCATTATGACTCATTGGAAAGGAAACAAGCTAGCAGATCCAACATTCTGAGAGAGTGGTCATGCTCACTTTTTTCCCCCAGAGTTGGGCAGAAAATGAGCCCATTTGTCAGGAAAGCACTGGAGGAGCTCAGTGATGGGTAACCCCAGAGCTCCTCTGAGTATGGCCCAGATGCAGCCTAGGGCGTATGGTCTATACCTCATGCGCTAGCTGCATGACACAGGATTCCACACTGTTTCCCTCAATAGATATTAGACATGCATTGCATGTTTTTTCCCTCTAAATTTACACCTAGCCGAGGTGTTTAACACTTGCACTCAGTGCTTATTTGTTGCAATGAACAAATAAATAATGAATTGCCCTAAACAACTTAAAGAGTCCAGAAACTACGATTCAGTGGGCCTAGAAATTGTTTTTTTTTTTATAGTCACAGGTTATTTTTTGATAGATCCCAGCACTCCGAGAGCCATTGAGCTAAACAGAAGGAAACCCCACTGGTAAAACACGGGTGCCGTGCGTTCCAATGTGATGACTTGACCTTGTCTCTAGTGATTTGTGGGGTGAATATGACTTGGTATTTGGCTCATCCATGGATGTGGGTAAGGGAAGAGGTTCCAGATGAGGCTTCTGGTGCTCAGAGTTTTGATGGGAAGAGGCTGGACAGAGCTCTAAGCCACAACATGTACCAATATCCTTTCCTTAACTACCTAAAATTCTTCCCTGAATTGTAGCATAGAGATAGTATGTGTAATAGTGAAAATTAAATGTGCTTACAGCCCAAACAAAAAAGGAGTATGCGAGCCTCCAATACAGGAAACTTGATCTAGTTTTGTTCTCTTGCTTTACTTGCCTCAAATTATGGCAAGTTCAGTGATAAATACATTAATTCAAACTGCATAGCTTTTTTAAAAAATGCTTATAGCTTTATAAATGTGATTATTAGAAAATTGGTGAATATCTAAAGTACATAACCTGATGACCTAACACCGACACATACCATGAAGCTGTCACTGAAATCGGGACCATAAATGCTTCTATCACATTCCTCATGGCTCAGGACTCCCTCATGTCCTTTGACAATCCATCCGTCCCTCCGCCCCCTTCTCCAGGCAGTCTCCCTCCCACTCTCCTACTATGATTTACTTGACTCTCCAGAACGTCACATCAACAGAATCACTGAGGTTTGTTGTTGTTATTTTAGCTTTCCTACAGAATAATTATTTCAAAATCCATCCAGGTTGTTGTACATATAAAGAAATCTTTTCTTTTTATTGCTATGTAACATTCAACTGTATAAGTGAACGCATCGTAGATTAGTTTATCTAGCCATTTGCTGAAGGACATTTGCGTTGTTGGTTATTACAAATTAATCTACTACATACAGGTCTTTATGGGGACATATGCTTTCATTTCTCTCAGGTAAAAACCTGGGAGCAAAGTACTAAGGCACATGCTAAGTGTGCGTCTAACTTTTTCAGGAACTGTCAAACTGTTTTCTAAAGTGGTTGTATTATTTTATCTGCTGATGAGCTGTGTTTGGTAATTCCAATTACTCCATTCATGGCCAATGACAGGTATGGTCGATCTTTTTTATTCTTTCTAGTGAGTATATGTTGCTATCTCATTGTGGCCTTTATTCTGGATGACACAGCCCACTTGTAAATACCCCTGACTCAAACCTATCATTCAAGGCAGGTTGATTTGTTCTGTGCTATAAGCACAACTAGCTCATGGTTGCCTCTATAAGTATAAGCTGCCAACCTGGGGTATGCTCTGCTCCTCATGTGACATCTTCTACTCTTGAATGAAGGGAGCTGCAAATACCTTATTTAAGCACCCCTCTCTGTTAAAAGAGAGAGGGGGAAAGGGTACATGTACTTTCAAAAATGTAAACTTATAAGTTATAGATGTACACCAGTATATTGTGATACTTCTGTCTGAAATATCCCAACTGCCTTTCTACCTTGCTTCACACAGCAAGGGCAAGAAAACAAGACAGTCGTGGAGACCAGAGGAGGGCGCCAGAGTCCACCCTTTTTAAAACAATGTTCTGGTGATGCCGAATTACTACTTTGACGGCCCAGGATGTGTTTAATATCGGTGAAGGTTCCCTGTAAGCCTGAGAAGAATGTATTCTGCTGTTGTTGGATGAAGTAGTTCATATGAGCCGATGAGAGCTCACTGATGGCACTGCTGAGTTAAACTGTGTCTTTACTGATTTGCCTGCTGCATCAGCCCATTTCTGATACAAGGGTGCTGCAGTCTCCTGCTGTAATCCTGGGCTCATTTCTTTCTATTTGCTGTTCCATCAGTCTTGCCTCACGTATTTTGATGTTCTTAGATGCATACATGTTGTTACATCTTCCTAAATAAATTATACTTTATAATGCTTCTCTTTATCCCTGGCTACTTCCCTAGCTCTGAGGTCTGCTCTGTCTGAAATTAATAGTTATTCTAGCTTTCTCCCAATTAATATTAGCATGCTATATTTTTATCTATCCACTTACCTTTAATAAACATGGGTGTTTATATTTCAAGTAGTTTACTGTGGACTACAGAGTGGGTTCCTGTTTCTCCAAGCATTCTGACAATCTCTGTCTTTTAATTGGTGCTCTTAGACCATTAAGTGTTCAGAGTGATTACCGACATAGTTGGTTTGCTATCTACCATGTTATGATTTTCTATTTGTTGCCTTGTTCTTTGTTCCTACCTTTGTCTCCCACTCTTTTTCTGCCTTTTGCAGTTTTAATTGAACATGTCATATGGTTCTATTCTTTATTAGCATATCAGTTATAGTTCCATTTTCTTTTTTTTCAGTGATTGCCGGAGCGTTTGCAAGTATTTATAACTAATCCAACTCCATTTTAGAATAACACGTTACAACTTCACAGGTGAGGCAATTATCTTATAATGAGAGAATCTTAATTCCTTTTTTTAATTAGACATAAATACACCCATGGATCATTGTGTTCAACCTGTGTCTGGGCTCACTCTTTAAACACTGCTAAAGCCAGGCTTCCTCCACTGGCTTTTCCCATCACTGGAACCAAGATTTCTTCCTTTTCAGTTATCCTGTAGCCTTCAGGCTCTCTTGCATGACCTCTTAGTCACAGCTTCTCAGATCTGCCTGGGGCTTTTCAGTTACAAAACACTGTCACATAGGCCAACTCATCTGATTTTCACAATCGCCCGCTCCACACAGGGTGCCAATCGTGTGCATTTTCTGCAAATGGACTCTGAAGGTCAGGGCTGCTAGTGGACTTGCAGAGTGGGAGCCCTTTAGCTACTCTCCTTGTTAATAAGTATCAGGAGCTAGAAAAATCAGGATTCTGGCCTCCTAATCAAGTAGACTTCATGAAACTCCACCTCCTACTTCCTTATACTCTAACTTCTTGCAGGCGTCGCTTTCTCTGATATGCCTTTCCAGTTCCCAAGTGTTGTGCTGGAGACATTCCAGTGGCATTTTCTTTACTTAAATTACTTTCCCATCCAAACTACTGGTTTAGTGTAGGCTGTTTTGCACTGGAAGGTTATTATGATAATCTCATTATTATTAGTATTACTACTACTAGAAGTTAATGGTGTCTGGGATTGTTTACAGCCATAACTTAATAAACACCGGCAAACTATCACAAAACGCCAGGAAGAAGGGAGTCAGTACTCCCAAAGACCACAGACATTCCTAAGCAGTGGCAACAGATTGCTTCGCCGCCTGGGCCCTTGTTCCTTCTAAAACGAGGAATGTACCTTCATCACATCACTTCCCTGACAGGTTACTTTCTGACGTCTAAGGAGATCAGATAGACATCATCCCCTCTGTGGAAACTTGTTTTTCCTTAACTCCCTGAGAAGGAACAAGGAAACAATACGTGCAACACGTGTAGTGGGGAAGAAACTGCATTGTTAGGAAAAGCCCGGACACTTCCACGGACACATGCCAGTGAATCGGCAAGCGAACTTGGGAGGAGGCCAGAACGAAGGAAAGCTCAGAATCGAAGGTGTTCACATACTTGAACTTCAGAGGAAGGAAGCGAAGATGTAGACTCAAAATCCCCCTGCTAGTTAATGATCGGTTTTACTTCCTGCTCCACGCGTGCCTAAAATAACTCTGCTGCCCTCTCCCCTGCGGCCAGATCCACCGCACCTTCTGCCGGCTCTCCAAGCCCCAGATTCCTGGCACGGGAACTGTCTGAAAACAGTTCAATTAAGCGCATGTTGTTGTTGGCTGCACTTTGGGGCGGGGAGTGAGTCCAGCGAAGGCGGGGCAGTTTCCAGGTGATAACTGTACTCCTAGGAGTGTTTATCTGGACACCCTTAATCCAAGTGCAAAGGCAATGACGGCGGGCGGGGTAAAAATTAAGTGACCGGCGCTGTGTTAGGCACCTGACACGCCGCTGTATGCCATTTATGTAGCGACATCCTGATGCATGATGCGGAGATACTTCTCCATTTTACGGCTGAGGAAGCAGACAGGTGTAGCAACTTCCCTCCCAGTTAAGTTTCTAGGGTTAAACGCAGGTTCGTCGAATTTCCAACACCACCCCCCCCCCCCCCCCGCCTTCGCCTCCGCCACGCTCCGCTGTGACTCCGCAAAGCCACGGATGCACGCGCGGCACCCGCTGAACCTCTGCGCCCCGCTCTGCACCGGGCGCGCACCGAGCCGCTGCAGATGCGAACTTGACCCTCACCCAGCGACCGCAGTCACCGCCGCACAGAGCGAGCTCCGCTCCTTCGGGTTCCCGCACGCTGAGTCCAGCCACAGCAGCGCGGTGCCCCCAGCCCGCCCGGCGCCCCCTGCCCTCCCGCGTCTCACCCCAGGTTGCCGGCAGCGCCAGCAGCAGCACCGCAGCCGCCAGGAGAGCTCCCCCGCAGAGGGACAGGCGAGGTGGAGGCGCTGGGCTCCTCGCGGAAGCGGATCCCATGCTCCCCCAGCGCCTCTAGAAACTCGGCGGTGGGAGGAAGGAGAGCACGCGGCGGAGCGGAGAGGCAGCGGCTGGGCTCCGCGCCTGAGGTCTGGAAAGGGATGCGGAGGTTCCGGGGCAAAAAGCTTCCGACCACAGCTTCCCCTTAATGAGCGCGGGCTTATTTACTCCCCATTTGCATTGTTTCTAAGGAGACTCCCTCCCAGAGAGCGCTTTAGAGACCCAGGTGCAGGCGCAAAATCTGCCGGTGCCTCAGTTCCCAGAGGAGCTCCACTTGGGGGCGTGCGGGTCGGAACAAAGGCGGTGCTGTTGGCGAATGGGGGCTTGCGCCCCGGCAGGAATCCGTGCGGCAGAAGTGCAGCTGGACCGCCTGCCCGGTGTGCGGAGTCCAGGGGGTGCCTCCACGGAGGACCGACTTCTGCTCAGTGCATTGACATATCCGGCCCGTTAAAAGATTTCCGGAGAAGATGTGACCCAGCAGATTTACAGTGTAAAAACATAACCCTCGGTGGAGTCCGCAGACCAGGTTAGAAGAGAGCAGTGGTGGGTGGGGGAGATGGGAAGGAGACTTTGGCATCAACCCAGTGAGATTCGATGGTGGCCTTGTCTCGGTTGATAAAATGGACACTTAACAAAGACATTGGAGATGGAATGGTCGGATTTGCTCATGCGTTGGATTTTGGTTATTTCCATTTGCCATTCAGAAAAAGAAAGGAAGCAAGATTAGCAATGGCCAGAGGCACTATTTATTGAAGTGAGAAATAGCGGAGAGGGAATAATTCCGGACAAGCGGTTAAAAATCCAGGGTTGAGAGAAATGAAGTGTGTAGTAGATTGAATGCCCCCCCCCCCGCAATGTCCACGTTCCAATCCCTGAAAGCTGTGAGTGTTACCTCACCTGGGGAAAGGGGCTTTGCAAATGTGACTAAATCCAGGAGTCGGGAGAGTGCCCTGGATTAACCCAGAGTGATCCTAGAGATCCTTTAAGAGGAGGGCAGGAGCACAGCGTGGGAGGAGCGATGATGAAAGCAGAGATCCCAGTGTTGCTGCCCTACCTGGGAGTGCCTGCGCCTTCAGCTGGAAGAAAGACTCCCTGGGCTTTCAGGAGCACCAGCCTTGCCTGCACCTTTTATTTTCACAAAAGAATAGATCTGTGATCTTGTAAACCACAGGACAATGCATTACAGCAACAGTGGGAAGCTAATGGGAGGAGGAGAGGGATTAGTACCATCAGGGGAGAGCGGCACAGTAAACAGCTGGAACAGACTGAGCATGCGCTCACGGGGTCTAGTCAAAGCCAGGAGACCAGGGAATGTTTAGGAACAGGTTGGGGACATGGGTAATTTGTTGATTGTGAGGCTGAGCTTCCAAAAAGGCCTGACCAGAGGACTTCTGAAAGAGGCATGAGAGCAGATGGTCAGAATCACAGGAACTGATGAGGCTGCAGAGGGAGAGTCTGTACACAAGATGAAGATCAGAATGGAAAGTAAGGAACCAGATCCTGTGTGTCGCATACATCCCTCCCCCACTGGTCAAGCTATGGGTCCCTTCATAGAACTATTTTTAATGTATAAATAGAGTGCACAGAAATGTAAAGATGTTATCTACCAGTGCATCTATCAATCAATCAATCAATCAATCTATCACTAGTTCTAGTCATGGACTTTTGTAGGGCCACGGCCCCTAAGAAAGAATCCCAGATTCACCAATTGGTGGAAGCAAGAGTCAGTTGCTTCTAAGGCTGGAGCTGGAACGAGTTGGTGGAGAGGGGAGTAATTCCAAATACCAAGTGCTATAGAGAGGGGGAGAGATGAGGGTGGAAGAGACACGAGTGTTGTCGCAAGTGTTTTAGTAAATGTGCTCATTCCTTTGTACTCCACGCAGAAGCATGATTTGTGGAGGGTAGATGTTCAAGGCAGAAAAGTTGTATGCACAGTGCATCTTCGCGAATGGAGACCCACACGTACGCAGTGCTGCAAATGGGTGCTGCTAGCGTGACCAGCCTTACTTCACCCAAACATTCTGGAACGCTGCTTTATTGAAGTCTCAGCTCCACCCCTCACTTACTGGGAAAGGGCCATCTTCCAAAGGCCTAGTTTGTTTCCTATTTTTCATTAGTTTCCATTAGCATCTCTCTCAAGACTCAGTTGCAAGAAACATCTACTTTGATTGTATCACTCATGATATTTCCACTTCAGTCCATCTAATACCCTTCCTCAAGGAGCTGATCCATCCTTTTAAGTTGCTCTCTGGGCCATGGGAAAGGGGTGAGAAGAAGGTTCAATTCCCCAGCCTTAGTCACATGCTGTCAGAATGTGCCTCTCCTTAACTCTTCCTTTAGCCCACATCTCTTGTCATGTGCTTTCTCCCATCATTCCTTGAAGCTTTCACTTTGAGCTCCTGGCCATCTTTTCCACTCTTACTCCTGTGGCAGTCTTTGCTGATTTGTATATTCACAGCAATAGTATTTTCACATACTTGGCTTTGGTGCCTTGACATCTGGTGATGATCTTGCCCTCCACTGTATCCTACAAGTTATGCCCATGTCTGTTCCCTGGAACCTGTCAATACAACTGCACTTCCTGTATAATCACAAATACCCCACTCTCCAGCTACAACCCCACACTTGTGATTCAGCCCCTTGTACCCTGAAATTGAATCCAAAAATCTTTGTATCTCTCAGTGCCTGAAACCTGCTGATCCAGCCACCATTTCTCAGCCTCACCTCCTTCATTTATTTAATTTATTATTATTATTCAGGAGGCAGAGAGAGATGGGTAGACAAAATTCTTGCCTGGTGGCCCATTCCTCCAGTGCCTATAAGATCCAGGGCTGGAGCCAGGAGCCAGGAACTCAGTCGAGGTTTCCCCCTCACGGGTCAGTTATCTGACCCATCATCTGCCTTCTCCCAGGGACTGCATTGACAAAAAGCTTGTATCAGGACCTGGAGCCAGGAACTGAATCCAGGCACTGGGGGGACACTCTGATGTGGGAGTCAGGTGAATGACATCTTAACTGCTAGGTCTAAAGGTTCCCCTTCCCCTACTGCTTTGTGCTTCACTTTCACCCTCACCAAGTTAAATGCCATGTTCTTTCATGATAACCACTATTTTGCACACACCCTAAGCCCCCTCACCCTTATCATATTTGTTAGGCAAAACAACAATCTTAGATACACTCAGTTCTCTGTTATGTTGCCTCTGGACCTCTGAAATTGAATGTGCCTGGAGAAAAAAACGTGTCCACGATGACCAGTCTTACTTTAATGACATCTTGGCTCAGATGTACCATTCTCATTCTGCCTGGTGCACCACTATTTGTCTAGTTCATTTACCCTCCCATTCTCCTAAAAGACTGTTGCATATTTTATTTTGACATTGAACCCTGACACTACCTCCATTATTCTTAATTCCTGTTTATAGATTTGTTTTTTTTTCCACTGAGAAAACAGAAGCAATGAAAGAGAACTTCTGCTATCTTCTCTCATCACCCACATGCCTGTATTTGGCCTATGTGGCTGGTTATTCTGTTAGTATGGCAGTGCCCATTTGCACCCTTATCCAAGAGCAACCTGAACTCATGCACTGGATTTGATATGCTCTTACATGCTCAAGGAGATCACTGCAGAAATTCTTCTCCCTCCAGCATCAATGATTCCCCCTGTTCTGCTGGATTCACCATGGAAACAAGCCATTTCTTCAAATACAGCAGGTGCACTTTCTCCTTGGTTCTCTACTCCCCTGCCAACCATTAATATCCCTTTTACCTGGACTGCTGTTTACATGGGTGAATGTCCACATGGCCCTTTCCTCACCTGCATGGGTTCTTTTGCTCAAGTGTTACCTTCTCAATGAAACCTTTTTGGCCACTGTTTAGAATGACACATTCATTCAGAACTAACTTTCCTCTTTTCCCACTGTATAGGCTTATTTTTTCATTTTATTCCCATCATGCTTAGTATTTCAGTCTATTGCCATCTGAGAACATGCCTCCTGTTGGTCTTTTCCCACTGGGCTGAAAGCTGCATGAGGATGCATTGATCTGTCACTGTCACCTCCCATGATCTGACCAGTGCTTAGCATACACAGGGTTTCCCTGATCATTTACTGAATGAATGAATGAATGAATGGGTGCAACGATAGAGACAGCTAAGGTCAACCACTCTCAGAAACTTCAGTGGTGCAGAGATTTAGTTTAAAAGAGAATCATGGATGGCTTGGGGAAGATTTGAGTGGAGGATGGGGTAGGTATCTCTTACTTTAAATGAATCCCTTTCTCTGAAATTTGCCCCCAGATTTTTCCCTTGGGAAGTCCCCTCTTTGCTGTGGTTCAGTGGGGGTCAAGTACACTATGGTTTCTCAGTTTCAATACTTTTCATGTTTTGGAGCAGATAATCATTTGTTGTGGGAATGTCCTGTGAACTGTAACATGTATTGGGGTAACTCTGGCCTCTACCCATGAGGTCCCAGACACTTCTCCTCTGCCAGTTGTAACAACCAAATATGTCTCCAGACAATGCCAGATGTACTCTGGGGAACACAACTGCCCCACTGTAGAATGAGATGGACCAATACCAACCCCAGCTCCAAGGCAATGCAGGCCACTCAGGCTTTGTCATCTGTCTTTATGTCACTGTCATAATAATTGGTTCATTTGGGAGAGCATGACCCTGTTTGGAGAAATGAGCCATTGAGGGGACTTTTGAAGGAGATACTGGACAAGCAAGCTCTTTGTGATGAAATGCTGAGCAGACAGCCAGGGGTTTGACATGGAGAACAGACATTTTACCCATTTTTAGGAAGGGTCTGTCAGACAATGAAGCCATCAATGGAAAGGAGAACTAGAGATAGAATAGATTGAGGACACTGTTTGAATATTTAATTCCTGTTTGACAGACGACAAGTACAGCCTTGGTCTTTTACATACTGTACCATAACATTTGGATCAGGTCTAAGCCAGAATGAGATAGATTTCTGTCACTCCTGGTTTGGGAGGTTTGTGGGTGGGTAGAAGGAGCAATGATGGGACAGGACATCACTGTTGGAGCAGTGTCCAGGGAGAGACAGATTGGGGAAGGAACTAAGAAGGGCATGAATGGAGCAGGCAAGCATGGAGGTCAAGGGAAAGGAGGCTTGGAGAACTGTCCTCAGATGTTCTCACATCTGCTCAGAGAAGGAGAAATGCAGGTAGAGTGGAGTGGATGGGTTGGAGTGAGTGAACAGGTAATGTGAGGGAGTGCAATCAGCGCTGAACAGTGCCCCCTTTGTGGTAAATATCCCAAAGAATCAAAAGTAGTGTCTGAAGAGAGATTTGCAGCACAGATAGCTTCATGGCAGCATTACGCACAGAGCTAAGAGGTGGAAGCAACGCAAAGGTCTTTCCACGGATGAAAGGCTAAACAGGATGTAGTAGCCACAAGCAATGGACTATTATTCAGTCTCAAAGAGCAAGGAGATCCTGTCACATGCCGCAACACGGATGGATCTTGACGACTTTGTACTAAGTGAAATAAACCAGTCAGGAATGAATACTGCATTATCTCACTTACATCAGGTATCTAAAATAGTCAAATTCTTGGAAACAGAAAGAATGGTGGCTACTAGAAGCTGAGGAGATAGGAAGTTGTTATTTGTGTTCCTAGAGTTTCAATGTGACAGTATTAAACTTGCTACAATAGTAAATAGTTTTGGAGATCTGTTGCACAACAATGTGAATATATACTTAACCCTACTGAGCTGTAACACTTTACACTTTAAAATGTAAGATGATAAATTTTATGTATTTTCTATCACATAAAAACAAAAGCAGATGCTGACTGCATACCTAGTCTAGGAGAAGGTGGAGAGGGTGAATTTGTAGTTACCAGTAAGCCAGGTTTTGTTTTCCCAATAGTTTAAATGTTGGAACAGAGGAAGTTACTAGGTGGATGTATAATACAATGGAGGAGGACAAGAGAGCCAAGGGAAGCTGTTGGGTGGGAAAATCCGAGAAAGTCTTGAGGGCAAGGGAATTTAAGTTTTTGGATGAGAGTAGTGTTATAATGACCAAGTTGTGGGATACAGAATAAATAACTATTACATCATGAACTCTAAAAAAAATAGGACTATATCTGTTATTCAAGATTTGCCTCCAGAAAAAAATTATATGTCAATTTAATAGATATAATTTATTAATACATAATTAAATGACATTTTACAAGCAACTGGAGCTTATGACAAAACTGCTAAGGATATATCCAAAGCTTGAGTTGTATACCAAAAATTTAGAATTAAAACTTAACTTCTATAATTTCACAATACTTATGAAAATTGGAATTACTGAGTGAGCATGGAAAGTATGTATTGTGAGAAAACTCGAACCAAGTGGGGATACAAGTGAGATGTTTAATGATGTTGGAGGAGGAAGCTGCTGTTAAAATACAAGCACACTTCCCAATAAGAGTATGGCCATCGTAACCACAGGAAATACCTCCCACTTAACTTAAATAATTACAACCACATTATAACTCAAAGCATATGGTAGCAGTAAGTATGTCTTATGAAAAGAAGATGGGTCTTTATATGAGATCTCTTTTTAGTGCCTGCCTTTAAAAGGTGACACTTTGAGATCCATATAGTTGCTGATAGTTGGCTTCAGGCACATATCCCATCAGTCTTCAGAAACTCCTTGAAGAGCACATGGCAGTGAGACTGGGCTCCTTTCTTTACCATCAAGCCAACGTTCTCTGTTCTGCTTGAGAAAAGGTGCATTTGGAGGTTATATAGCTTATGAATGATTTCATTGACATTGAGACCACAAAGAGAGTTGCTGATATTAGCTGGTTTCTTTCCAACCAGTGTTCAATTGGATTCTAAGCACGGAACACACTGAAATAGATCACTTGTGTTCAGGAGGCGGCATGAATAGCAGCGGTGCAGCTCCAAGTTTAAACAATCAGACAGTTAATGTTCTCTCTATACACTGATTATAGCTGTAATCCAATGAAGCATTGAGTCTATTAGAAGACATTCTTCTACTAGGAGGTCTTCAAATAGTATGATCTGGAACAAATAAGAACTACAATTTATATTAATGAATATTAATAAAACCAAATAAGGAAATGTAAGCAACATTCTCATATTTGTGCATTCATTCAATACCTATTTACCTAACGGCTTGCCTCTGGGCCCGCCCTAATCTTGATTGGAGTTCATTCTGACATGGTCTCCCTTGTTCTCCCCTTTCCTTTTCTACAACTCATCACAGAAAGTAACCTGCTCGTCCTCAGCTGCCACAGAGCTGTGCGAAGCCTCATTTATGGTACTAAGTAAGAGGGGAGAGGTGGTAACTTTCTATTTTATAGATTACATCCATTTGGGATGCCAGCTTTACTTGCTATGCCACAGTGCCAGCCCCATCCTTGACTTCTAATGTAGGAGGATCCAGGGCTCAGTACTCAGACTGTCTCTCCCCTAGCCTCTTTCACCCTCTTAGTGGTCTTGTTCAGTGTTGTCATTAGATACAGCCATGCACTGATGAGGCTCAATTGCGTATCTCCAGCCTGGATCCATTTCCTGATATTCAGACTTGTATATCAGCTACCTTATTGACACTTCTACTTGGATGTCTATTAAACATCTCAAATTAACATCTCCAAAATGGAACTTCTAATTTTTCTCCCTAATCCTGCTCTACACATTCTCAATCATGATATTTCTAGCCTTCCACTTGCTTAGACCAAAACCCCTTGCATTATCAATGACTCCTTTTCTCTTTTACACTGAGATACCGTTGGTAAATCCTATTGTCACTCTTTTGAAAATACATACACAATCTGAACTCTTCTCTCCAACTTGGTGGTAGCCACTCATGATTTCTTGCCTAGATTATTGCAATATACTCTTCACTGATCCCCCATCTTCCATCCTTTGCTTCCTGTAGTCTCTTCTTATCAGTAGCAGTTAACATAATTTGTGTTGCTTCTCTATCAAAACCTTCTAATGTTTCCCATCTTAGGATAAAAACCAAGCTCAACTCAACACACTAACCTAGCATGGTCTGTATGATTTTCTTCTCCCCACTATCCCTTCCTTGTTTCTCTGATTTCCTCTCTACCCGATTCCCCTGTGATCATCCTACTGGAGGTTACCCTGGGCTCATGCTGTGTCTCCAACACAGGAGGTACACCCCGCATTATGCCCTCTGCATCTCCTATTCTTTCTTCCTGGAATGCTGTTCCCCTGCAGCCACTCTACTTCCCTCTGATCTTTGCGCAAATGCCATTTTCTTAGTAAGGACTTCCTGGCAGCCACCTTGTTCTCCCTATCCCCTTTTATTGCCTTATTCTTTTACAGTATTTTGCATCTTCTTACTTGCTTTACTCTTAGTTATTTTGCTATTTAGTTAAATATTTGTTGAATGGATTTAAAGAACTGGAACATTGTTTGGCAATGTGTACTAGATAAATTAACAATTGCTATGCATGTTTGCCAAAAACTTACACAATAGTCAGAACCATATATATTCAGTACTTTGCTAATTGGCAAGGATAAACTGAAGGCAGTTTTGACAAATTAATTAAAACATTTCAATTTCAATAGGTACCAGTTGGTCTTCTGATTAACTTGCTGGGTTGTATGGATCAATAGGATATACTTCTTGTGTTTCTAAATGACCAGCTCCTCCTTTAGGGCTTGTATTTGTATAATAATTCCTGAATTGGAGAAAGGAGAAAAAAAAAATCTTTACTCATTGACCACAATTCCTATAAAGATGTAACAGTTGTTTGCCACTCATAATTCTCAGTATAGAGTAATTTTCATGGATGAGTTCATCTCATTATTTTAAGGATCCCATGAAGTAAACCAGGACACTGTCTGTTTTGGAAAGGCACAGAAAATAACAAAACAATGATGGACTAGACTTGAAATGTCCAAGTCAGAAACAGACACTGGGTGGCTTTACCCCAGATCCCGGACTCTTAATAACTAACAACGATAAATTTTAGGAAAAAATGGAAAAGAAGCTTTTATTTTAGGATGTGATCATAACTTTACCCTTTTGGGACACAGACTTCCAGCCTAACTTAAAAGGAAATTTATATATATATTTAACTCAAAATTCTTACAGTCAGCACTAAAAATTTTAAATGATTTCAAGAGAAAGTTTTCACTTTTACCCTTTGACAGTGTGCCTACATGACTGCTTGTAATGCCACAATGTCAGAATTAGTGAAAGTAATAAAACAATTTATACTATCATGTAGAACTCTAAAGTATTCTAAGATTACTGGGGAGAAAAGATTACTGTTAAGGGGACAAATGGTAAGCCACTAACTATCTTCTCTAAAAGATCAGTTTATTAGAAATATATTAATAACATTATAAAATGGTAATTTTAGGTCAATATGAGATTTAGACTTTGTTAAGATATTTTAGATGATCAGAAAAGAATAGCATAGTTTCTTTCAAATGTTTTGATGATTTTTAAAATATTTAACTTTGTCATTAGACATTCATTTTTAGATGATTTATTACTCATGTCATTTATAAAAATTATTTAAAGCAACTCAAATGCCTATATCAATGAATCAGAAAATAAGTTGGAAGATGGTAATAAAACGAGTGAAACTTAGAAATTTAAGTTAGAATATACCTTTAGTTTGTGTCAATTTAAGCTCTTAAATACCTGATTAGGACAGGATACAATCATATTAACAAACAGTAGCCATACTGAAACATCTGAATTCTTTGAGCTTGTAGGCATTCCCCAAATTTGCAAATTTTCCTGTACATGCAGTGCTGTGATAGCAGACTTAGTGTCATGAAGGGAAGAGATAGATACCACATTTCCTATTTATTTAAATTTCCAATAAGTCTTGGCTAAAATTATCTTCTAACTTCCTTTGAGGAAGGCCATGCAAATGACACACACCCCCTTTTTTTTTCTGAGAACTCTGCTCCCTTGAATTCTGTGAAGTTACTCTCTCCTAGTTTTCCTCCTAGTTCTGACTGTTCCTTCTCCCCCTGCCTCATCCCCATTTTTACCTTTTCTGTGCTTTTTGGTCTCAAGGCACCTGCAGTGATCTAATCATCACCTTCCTGAGTCCAGGCCCCGTCCCGTCCTCTATCGTGGGTGACAGGTCACCCATGTGACAGGTCAGAGCCGAGCTCGTCATCGCCCTGCACAAACCTGCCCTTCTCCTCCCTGGGGGAATCACTGGGTCTACCCACGCACCTCCATGTGAGTCCTTCCATGTGCCCCCTTCTCCCATACTCAGCAAGTCACTAAGTCCTGGAAATCCTCTCTTCTTAGAGCAAAGATACCTCTAGTATCTGTTCCGTCCTCTTGATCCTGATCCCTGCCACCGCCCTTTTCTCCTTTTCTTTTTTTTGACAGGCAGAGTTAGACAGTGAGAGAGAGAGAGAGACAGAGAGAAAAACATCTCCCTTCCGGGCTGGCGCCGTGGCTCAATAGGCTAATCCTCCGCCTTACAGTGCCAGCACACCAGGTTCTAGTCCTGATCGGGGCAACGGTTTCTGTCCTGGTTGCTCCTCTTCCAGGCCAGCTCTCTGCTGTGGCCCGGGAAGGCAGTGGAGGATGGCCCAAGTGCTTGGGCCCTGCACCCCATGGGAGACCAGGATAAGCACCTGGCTCCTGGCTTCGGATCAGTGCGGTGCTCCGGCCGCAGCGCGCGGGCCCTGGCAGCCATTGGAGGGTGAACCAACGGAAAAGGAAGACCTTTCTCTCTGTCTCTCTCTCTCTCACTGTCCACTCTGCCTGTCAAAAAAAAAAAAAAAAGAAAGGAAAACATCTTCCTTCCGTTGGTTCACCCCCCAAGTGGTCACCCCCCAAGTGGCCAGCAGCCAGGTGCTTCCTCCTGGTCTCCCATGCGGGTGCAGGGCCCAAGCACTTGGGCCATCCTCCACTGCCTTCCCGCTGGCCCTGCTTTTGAATATGAAAATCTGAACACTTTATCCCCTTGCTAACTGCACGATAAACTTCAGCTCCTTGTCAGGCATGAAAGTCTTTGGGTGATATCGCATCTGATGACCTTTCTAGATTTCTCCAATGTCTGTTAAATGGACACTTAGTTCCATGTGATACTAAAAGCCTTATGTGAAAAAAAAACTAACAATTCTTTCTCTGGGTGAGAGAGAGGTTGTGGTGTGAACAATTCTATAGCCTATCTGCAAAAACAAATAGAAGAAAATTTCAAAATATTTTAAAGGAAAAGAAAATTGAACTATCAGAAAAATATTGTACTACTACAATTAGTAGAGTAGCTCTGGCTCATAGAGACAAGCAGAGCAGTGGAACACAATCTAACTCCATATCTACGTTAGACCACTTGAACAAATAGAAAGGTGTACCATCTTTCTGAATGAGAAGATGTTATAGGAAAGACCAATTTCGCACAGACTATAGTTTTAAATGCAATCAACATGTGTCTGTTTTTAGGAAATGACAAATGATTCTAAAACTCACCCATAAGAACAAAAGAGAGATGAAATTCCTTAAAATTATAGTGGGGGTTCTTGTCCTACCAGATATTATAGTTGGATAAAACTATACTAATAAATAGAAATTGATTTGTGATGGAGAGGTAAACAGACCAATGAAACAGAAAAAAACTTAAAAAAACTATTTAGAAACATTAAAATTTTATATATGATCAAGTAAAAACAAACTTTCTGAGAGGTCATTGTGTGATACATTAAACATATTAAATACTCATACATTTATCCTTGGTAACTCTAGAAAGTGATTATCCTAAGGAAATAATTAGATACAGGAAAAATTGTATCAAAAGTTTTCCTTTTTTTTTTTTTTTTTTTTTTTTAAGGCAGAGTGGACAGTGAGAGAGAGAGAGACAGAGAGAAAGGTCTTCCTTTTGCCATTGGTTCCCCCTCCAATGGCCGCTGCGGCCAGCGCGCTGCGGCCAGCACACCGCACTGATCCGATGGCAGGAGCCAGGTGCTTCTCCTTGTCTCCCATGGGGTGCAGGGCCCAAGCACTTGGGTCATCCTCCGCTGCACCCCCTGGCCACAGCAGAGAGCTGGCCTGGAAGAGGGGCAATCGGGGCTAGAACCCGGGGTGCCGGTGCCGCAAGCGGAGGATTAACCTATTGAGCCGCGGTGCTGGCAAGTTTTCCTCATTTTTATCAACAAAATAAATGTGGAAGCAATGTAAAGTTTCTGCACAGAGAAATCCACGTGATGGAATAATATGCTATTAAGTTCCTCACTTTATGATCTTTCTTATGAATCCCACATTACTCTGTTCCTTTTATCACCTCGCATTATTCATTTCATACAACTCATGCTTCTTCCAGGCAAGAAGTCAACATCTTTTGTGCATTTTGGTCAAACTTGCATTTGAACTTACCGTTCTCTGTGTTTTGTTATCATGAATAAGGTGACGCTAACCAAGAAGATAAGAAATACAGAACCTGCAAAAATACCTATTGGAAAAAAAAAAAAGAGCAAATATCAATGGCTAGAAAAATTTGGGCTAAATCATTTTGAAGTAATTGGGGCAAATATTACATGACTTTTATACTTAACTTTTCTTGGTCATAAACACTGAAGTCTTGAGTAATCATATTTGGGCTTAAGTCTATTCTGATTTGATCTGCTTTTTGTTTAACCTAGAGCCCTAAGCATGTGACCACAGGGCTCCAGCCGACTTTCTGTTAGAGCTCTCTATGTCCTCCAATTTTGTTAGTGACATTCTTATCCCTATGATGAAATTAGGAACACAGGACCCCAGGATCCCATCCTTTTGCATAAACACACCTAACTCTCATTTGTGAAACACATTTTCCTGTAGCAGAATAAGCCAGCCTGTTTTGATAGCAAAGTATGCAAAAGACCAAGACTTAGTGAAAACTATTTCAATTGAAAAACTGGGAATAGTTGGTTGTTTTAATCATTTATCTAACTCTAACTAAAAGTGATATTTTTAATGTGAGGTGTACATTAAAATTTCCATAAGACACCAAAAAATATAATTTCCTGGGAGGTGAAGAGAAAACCAATGGGTAGAATATAACACCTTCAGGTGGATTTTTTTTTTTTTTGCTATTTTTTAGTTTTCTGTCTTTTAAAAATTTTTATTAACATAAAGAGAACAGATTTCATGTATTTCATAGATACAACTCTTAGAAGATAATCATATTCCCCTCTCTCCTTCTTTTCCTTCCTCAATTCCCTTCCTTCTTTTTTCTTTAATTTTTGCAAAAACATCATTTCAGTCCACTCTATAATCACAGGCTTAATGCACCACTAACCATAATGTTCAACAAATATTTTTACAAAACATCCGAAGAGCTTCAAATATTCAAGAAAACTTACCACAAAGAAGAGGAGCAAGTGGAGCAGGTGAGCCTAAAGAGAACACGAAATCATTGAAAACATTGGTCTAGCGGCAAGATCCCTGGTGCCCAAAGTCCTGGGCCACGTCCCAGAAGTCAACACTCCCTTGTCTTCTAAGTCCAGGTAAAGACACTGGAAACCTGAGTTATCTGCACGCTTTTCTCGTGTAGGGGCTCACTGGGCTGTTTTCCCTTCACTTTCATTAGGCAGATTAGCGGGTTTTCCAATGAGAAAAAACAACACAATAATCTTCCATGTAACAATCAGCTTCGAAGTCAGTGGTTCCTCAGGTTCTCTTACAAATACTTCCCGAGTTTTGGGAGCTCCCTGTCAAAGTGGTGCACACTTACAAATCAGGACCCAGCTGGCAGGGAAGTCTCTGTAGCAAGTCTTTCCAAAATCAAGGTTGATATTTTTCAGTTTTGCTCCCTTTCCGTTCTTGCTCATATCTCTTTCTTTTTATTTACTTCTCCTGCCCTTAGAAAGTTGTGCTTTTTCTAGACTAGACCACCAATTTTAAGTTCATCTGTTAGTGTACCGCTGGTCATGACGACCTATTTCACTGAAAACTTGGGGGTCACTGTGTTAAGCTCCCTAATTTTCCCCTCTCCAGAGACAATGAGGCCCTTTGCACTTACGGGATCTGCAAACAGCCAGGGGAGGGTTCCACTGGTGGTCGTCTTGGCACTGGCTCTGGGGGCTGCCTTCCAGGATATACCCGTCTTCACACTCCAGAGTTACAATGCTTCCGTACTGGTATGTTTTCCCAGGCTTCACAGCCTTCTGCATTCCAGTCATGGCTTCTGGGTAGCTACAGTTTACCTCTGGAATTAAAGGATCTAATTGAAGTCAAATCACATGTTGTCCTCTCACCAAAAAAGCAGACTGCCCTTAATGGAAAGGTTTAGGAAACCAGTGGATTTCACCCTCAATAAGCAAAGGTTCATCGACATAAAACGATATTCTAGGCACATATTTAGTGGCAGCCACCTTTGTCATTAACCTCTAGGCAATCTATTATTATTCTCTTCCCTTTTGCTTCAGAGTCTAGGCCAACAGTACTGAATAATACGGCTTCCTAGAGAAATGGAGAGGGCTGAACATGTAATGAACTTTCTGAACTATCATCCTGAATTGCTGCTGCTAGTCTTACTCTCTAATCCTTCACACCAATGTATGCATTGCTGTTTCTTCTACATATTTTCAGTGTAGGGGCCAACAGTGTAAGATCTTGGATTTGAGTGGCGACTCTAGTGCTTCCTCGCTGTATGACATTATGTAAGTTACAAGTTTCTCTATGCTACTGCAACCTCATCTGTAAAACAGGGATGATAATGACATCAACCTCCTGTGGATCTCATTAGGATTAAGGAGATAATGCATGTGGTATATTGTGTACCATGGCTGGTATATGTTAAACAGTGCTCCACAAACATCGGGTGCTAATTTACTGCTTCTAGTTCATATGCATTATGATAACAAAAATGGCTCTCTGAAATTTTTTATAAACATATAACAACATCCACACCACAACTCACAAGAAATATAGTCAAAAGTCCTTTGTGCTTTTTATTGGCATTTTTGTCAAATGCATACTAATCATAGCAGTCACCACAGTGTATATACAATCTGTACTTTAGTAGTTTAATTTATAAAAGTACTTCAACATTCTATATGTAAATGATTACATACACAGCCATTCATCAGATAGATGATAGTCTAAGTCATTCTTATTTTGAAATATTTAGATTAATTAATGTTTAATACAGTTAAAACATTTAATAATGTATTGGTTTAACATTAGACTATCAGTGACTCATTCAATGCATTAACAAAGGGAAATTTAGAACCACCTGGTTATGTAGATGCAGGAAAGTGTTTTATAGAATTATATTTGTATTAATTCAGTTAAATGAACTTAATTAAAAGATCCAACTATTGCATTTCTTTGATTGTTTTAAGTTGAAATCACCTATCTGAACTATCGATTTAGGACAAATTTCATTTAATAATAAGATGGAAAAATAGACAATGCACCTTTACAATAAGGGGCAGGTTGGCTCCAGGTTCCTTCATGAGTGCAAAGAAGATGTGCTTCTCCCACCAGCAGGTAGCCTTGGTCACAGCTATACGTGATCGATTTTCCAGGGGGAAATAGAGTTAGATGTCCACCATTATGACTTCCGTTGGGGATTTCAGGTGGAGGCTGGCACCTTAATAAAGCTTAGAGACCAATAAGAAAGGATCTTTAATTCAGCACAGAGGAATACATAGCCAGCACTATTGATAGTGATACAGAAAGGCGACAGGAAACAAGGCTACTAATTGACATCCAGACACATACATGCATCCCATGTAGACCAGGCACTGCTAAACAGAGATGTGCATCTCCCACCTAGCTCATGTATGATCTGAAGGGTCACAAGTAAGATACTGAAACACTGGTGGCCATGGTCCACAACTGGGATCTATCAGCCAGCAACATACTCTCCTTTTCCCTTTGAACAGCAGACAGGCTGCAGTCTAAGGATCATACATTCAAATGCCTCTCAGAGCTAGCAAGGGAAGTTTCCACATAAGACAAATCAGAGAGCCCCTATCCTTCTATGGCAGCCACTGCTCACTCACATTGCCAGGGCCTTGCAGGGAAGCAAAGCGGGCTCTCCTTGTTTGCAGGTTTATTAACTAGTCTGGGCTATTTACTTTCACTTAAATGAAGACCACTATGCTGGCCAAAGAAATCTGTTCTGGGGAGTGAAGATCAGCTCTCAGGCCGCCCGATGGCAGCCTGAGCTATAGATGGCCACTGACAGGCATAAGGCTGCAAACTGATAACTAAATGACAGGGAAAATGATTCAGTGGGTTTGATGGCTGGCCTCAGCCACCAGAACACCCAAAGCTCTCTTTCTGGCTGATAGCACAGCCCTCCAGAAGGCAGAGGTGCTACAAAGCCACATGGCTGCTTTAGACTTTAGGTGCTTTTATGTAGGCAAAATGGCAAGGACGTACTCAAAGCTCCTTTTTCTTTATTTTGTACAACATCCCACCTTTCATCCCTGAAAATCTCTTACCCTTCTTAATACAAGCTGGTACACCTGGAATCCACGTGTTATCCGTATGACACCTAATCAAGGGACTGCCAATCAGCAGGAAGCCAGGATTGCAGGCAATGTTCACTGTGTCACCGTGGGAATATTCAGAGGCAGTTTTATTGAGCTTGTGGCCATTTCTGACGTCTGGGTCAGGACACTGAGTTGCAGGAGGAGAGTGCAAGCACTGTGGGGGAGGGCCACTCCAAGACCCACGTCCTTTGGAATCACTTCTGCACTGCAAAGTTTTCTTGCCCAGAAGGTAGAATCCTTGGTCACACTGATAAGAGACTTCACTGGCATAACGAAACTGTTGTGTCATCCCGCTGGTGTGCCTCCCGTTTTCAATCACTGGTGGAGGCTGACAGTGAATAACTGTGAAAGAGATACAGGGAATTCTAGTTTGGCTAGTACATCCAAATGGACAGTCTTAACTCAGGTACAAAGACACAACACTACTGTATATACTTCACATAGCTAGAAAGTTATTTGAATTTTGGAACCTAGATTGTGCTTTTAAAAAAATAGTTCTATTAAATGTAGTTATACGCACAATAGACACTCATCCCAAAGAAATCTAAAAATACAGTAAAATATTAATGAAAGAAAAAAATGTAGCTATGTTACCATGACTTAGAAATCTGGAGTTTGCTTTTTATCTCTAGCAAAATTAGCAGACAAGTGGCCAATACCCAGTTCCTACTTGACAGCATTGTTTGCCAGTGCTGACTCAACACTGAAAGATTTCCCCATCTTACTTACACAGTGGGAGACACATGGATTTGAAATAGTTGTGGTCAGCTTTTCAGAGGCTGATGTCTGACCCCCTACTGCCACTGTCAGTGTTTTTTCTAACCTACCTTCACAAACTGGAGTCTTTTGGAGCCAGATTCCTTTCTCGACATCCTGACACTTGTGATAAGCATATTCAGCCAAATGGTACCTAGACAGACAGATTATGATACATTTTCTTTCCAATACCATGTCTTTACAACCTAGCCTCTTCAAACCACAAATATATGAAAATTCTCAGTCCTCCAAATAAGAAAACTACATTAGACTTAGAGTCACTGGCAGGACAGTGCTTTCCATGTCAAAAAAAAAAAAAAAGAACTGAAAAGTTAGGGATGCTGGTTAGGGACATTGGAATTTCCCGTTCTCTGTGGGTGTAGTAGTGAAGACCCTCCAAAGGGAGTCACCCAGGCATGGAGTTAATGCACAACCCAACGGGAGGATCTTTCTTTCTCAGAATGGATCAGCTTAGACTCACCCATCTTGACAGGTCGCATTAACTAACTCCACACGTAAATCAGCCAAAAGTTCTTGAGGATCTCTCACAGGCTGGCATGCCTCTGGAGGGGCAAGGTTGGAATTAGTTCCAGCTGCTTCATACCCAAGGGAAAGACAACTCTAGGACTGAAAGTACCTTCACACCATGGGGCAGAAGGACTCCCCGCTTCCCAAAGGCACACAGTGAATGGGTTTGTTTCACACAAGCAAGTACTCAGGGTCACAAGCATAGTCTACACTCATCCCAGAGACAAAAAGGACCATACTTGCACCCGTATGCTGACCGTGTGGGAGCCTGGAAGGTGGCTGGCAGCCTGAAGACCCCCCACATAAATACTAGCACAGAGAGATTTCTACTCACACTAAGCATACAACACTTAACAGACCATCTGCAGCTGTGAAACTAATTCATCACTGAGTTTTTTTCTGTTCTTTTAAAGAAAGTAGGTCTCTTTACAAAGACCCTTTCATTATCTACTCTGAATATGTCCCAGATCCAAGTCACCACTTACATAAAGAACACACTCAACACATCCAGAGCATTCTACTACAGGGTGGAAGAAATGCAAAAAGTAATCTGAGACCCTTGTCTTTGTCCATGACTTTGGGTGGGAGATACGAAACAAGAAGAGGTAGCACCTTTCTACTCCCCACCCCAGTGAGTTTTTACCTTTTTCACAAACTGGTATTTCAGGATCCCAGACGTTATTGGCCTTGCAGCGAATCTGTCTACTGCCCTTCAAGGTAAATCCAGGGTTACACTCGAATGTCACACTGTCGTTGTAGAAATACGGGGCTTCCTTGCCAGCTATCCTGTGTGCATTTGCAACGTGGACGTGTGAGCACTGGACATCAGGGGTGGAGAGAGAGCAGAGGGGAGCAGGGCCACTCCAGATGCCCCTCTTTTGATCATCACTTGTGCAGCGAATGGTGGGCTCCCCAATGAGGCTGAATTGCACTCCTGTCTCAGGCCCAGGATTGCATGTGTAAGTGATGGTGGTTCCATATGGAATATCTCCTGAGGGACTCCCTGTGTGTGTCCCATTGTAGATGGTGGGGGGTGAAGAGCAGGTGATCTCTGGAGAGAGAAAAAGATACTACAGAATTCTACTGCAGCTTTAGACACCAAAGAAGATAAACAAAGCTGGCTATGCCCCTGTTGTTTTCTGGAGGGTATGGGTGAGTTTACTTGGTGTGAGTTATATCAAAGCTCATTATGTATGTAGAATTCTATTTAAACCGATTTCACAGGAATGAAATATCTATTAAAAGTGAACCTGCTGGGGCCAGCATTGTGGTGTAGAGGGTAAAACTGCTGCCTATCCCAGATGGACATCAGTTCGTGTCCCTGCGGCTCCACTTCTCAGCCAGCTTCCTGTTAATGGCCTAGAAAAAGCAGCGGAAGATGGCCCAAGTGTTTGGGTCCTTGCCACCTATGTGAGAGACCCAGAAGAAGCCGCTGGCTCCTGGCTTCAGCCTGGCCCAGCCCTGGCCACTGTGGCCATTTGGGGAGTGAACCAGTGAATGGAAGATACCTCTCTTTGTCTCTCCCTCTCTATATATAACTCTGGCTTTCAACAAATATTTAAAAAGACATCTCTCTTTCTCTCTCTCTCTCTCTCTCTCTCTCTCCTCTCCTCTCCTCTCCTCTCCTCTCCTCTCCCCTTCCCTTCCCTTCCCTTCCCTTCCCTTCCCTTCCCTTCCCTTTCAAGTAAATAAATAAATGTTTAAAGGAATTTTTAAAAAGTGAACACGTTAACATGCTAATCCACATCATATAAGGCAGTAAGGCCCAGCAGTCAGTTGCTAATTTAAAAAAAATTATTTTTAAATACCCAATAGGGAAGTAAAAGGCATAGGGGATAGAATTCCACTTTCTGGGTGCCATCTCTGTGCAAGTGATATGATAGTGTAAGGGTTAACTGAGAATATTTACTGTTGATTAGGCCTGCCTTGGGCCAGGCAGTTTTGTCATCCAAAACGGATGTTGTCTTGTGCAAATTTAGACTGTAGTTCCGTGCCAGCTTAACAAATGAGTGACTAGTGCTCAAAGAAGTTCTATCAACTGCCCAGCATCATACAGCTATTAAGCAATAGAAACAGAATCTGAGTTCCAACCTGACACCAATCCCCTAAACCACCATAAACCCCCAAATGAAGGGTAGTATCTCATATACTTATTACTATCATTACTATTGTAACTGTAAATAAAAAAAAAGAGAATCAGTCTTTAAATACATTTAACTTAACAAACTGAAGTAGGAAAAGGTGACAACAGGAAGACGTGGCGAAACTATGCCCCTCTGTCAACAAAGTTAATAGAATCTAAGGCTCTACTTCCCATAGCATCACCTAAAACAGAAATCTCCCAGGATATGCACAGATCTCACATTATTTTAGCTCCTCTGTCATTTTTGCTACTCACCTTTACAAAGACGAATCTCCATATACCAAGGAACTGTACCTTGACATAGCTGATAGACGCTCTCACTTAGCCGGTACCTAGAGAGTAAAGAGTCATTTGGCCATCTGGTGACCACTAGACCAAGCAAGAGCTTTTGACTCCAAAGCAGACTCACCACTTTCAGGACAGAAAGCAATAGCAACAAAAGTATAGTCAGCCTCAGCACCACCCATCTATTGCACAGGCATAGTTTCCATGCACAGAGGTGTAGGATGACTGACACTTCAAAGATCACGTGACAGGAAGACCTTTGGCATAAACTCTTCCATAGAGCTCACGGTGTGCCTGATAAGCCAGACACAGTTCAGGCAGCAACAGCCTTCACTCACCCTTCATCACAAGAAGAGCTAACATCTGGTCTAACAAATCCATCCTGGGGTTTTTTAAAGAGTTGATTTCCTATGGGATCACACTCCGCCACTAAAAAAAAAAAAACGAGAGACAAGGATAAGAAATCAACTCAAGGCAAGCTTAAAATCAGCAAAACATCTACATTTGAAGCTTGGTACCTTTGCATTGTGGGGCAGTGGGTGTCCACTCCCCATCAGAGGTGCACTGTATGGATTCTTTTCCCACGAGCACATAGCCAGGGTCACACCTATATTTTACAGATGTTCCAGGGTCAAAGTGGGTCAAGTGCGTATCTTCCTTATGCCCATGGAGGATTTTAGGAGGGGCCTGGCATTCTAAGAGAAAGGAAAATCAAAACAAAACAAAACACTTGTAAAGGAAACAATAACAGAAAGAAACAGACACAGAAATTGCCAACAATGTTGCAAGTCCACTCTGGTTGCAGTCATATAATACACACACAAAAGAAAGACATGTGTCCAGAACTGTCTGAGTAGCCCTGCTCACGGACACCCATCAACCCACTCACCACTACTACATAACTCAGGCACCAGAGTTCTGGTCCTTGCTCTCTATCAATAATACCCCCACCTTAAGGAACCATCATGTGTGTTTGTATGGGAGAGTCTGATGTACTGCTGGAAAGAGAGCTTTTACAATTCACCATTCAGACCAACAAGCATTTTTCTACCAGTTTTTTTTCCTTCCAAAGAAATAGGCAACTTAATGATCCCTAATATTTTTCCCCAAGCATATTCCCACAAAATGAAACAGTGCTGTGTGTGTGTGTGTGTGTGTGGCGGGGGTGGGGGTGGGGGTGGAGGGGATTGTGCTGACAGATCCCCTACACAGAGCTCACAGTATCTGGTATACATGAGGGCAGCAGCAATTAGAAAAGGCCCTCCTGAGGCCCACAGCCTCTTCCTCTACCTTGTCAAGAAGGAGCATCAGTAGCACCATTTTGAGTACTGGGACACCTACCCTTTTCTTTTTTAAAAAGATTATATTGAGTTATTAATTAAGAGGCAGAGTTACAGACAGAGGGAGGGAGGGAGGGAGAGAGAGAGAGAGAGAGAGAGAGAGGTCTTCCATTTGCTGGTTCACTCCCCAGGTGGCAGATCCGAGGCCAGGAGCCAGGAGGTTCCTTGCAGGGGCGCAAGGGCTTGGGCCATCTTCTACTGCTTTTCCAGGCCACAGCAGAGAGCTGGATCAGAAGTGGAGCAGCCAGGACATGAACCTGTGTCCATATGGGATGTGGCAGTGCTGCAGGGTGAGGCTTAGCCTCCTATGCCACAGAGCAGCCCCAACACCTACCCTTTTCACAGATTGGTTCCCGCGGCTCCCACGTGCCCTGGGCACTGCATCGGATTCGCTGGCTGCCCTTCAAGGTGAAGTCAGACATGCAAACAAATACCACGGTGTCATTATAGGAATATCGGGCTTTCTGCCCAGTTAATATTCGTCCTCTTCGGACCTGAGGATGTGGACACTGAATGGTAGCAGTATCAAGTTCACAGCGTGGGGCGGGGCCACTCCAGATCCCGGCCTCATGGCTGTCAGTTGTGCAACGGATAGTGGGCTCCCCAGTAAGGATGAAGTTCACGCCTCTCTCTGGACCTGGGTCACAAATGTAAGTGACTATGCTTCCATACGGAACGTTGGCTAAAGAGCTGCCTATGTGTCTTCCATTGGGAATAGGAGGCGGCCGTGGGCAAAAAATTCCTAGAGAAATCACAGAGAGAAATAACAAGATCACAGGTATGCTGCAAACAAAGGAAGTATTAGATTTGCTTAACACCACCCTCCCCACCCAAGTCCAAATTCAGAGAGATCTGAATCTGTAATGAATCAATTGAGGCAGCTAATGCAATTTAAACTAAAAGTATGACATAAAAACTTCATTCCTGAGTAAATCTACTGTGCTGATCCTTGTGGTTTTTTTTTTTTTTTAACAGGCAGAGTGGACAGTGAGAGAGAGAGACAGAGAGAAAGGTCTTCCTTTTTGCCATTGGTTCACCCTCCAATGGCTGCTGCGGCCGGCGCACCGCACTGATCTAATGGCAGGAGCCAGGTACTTCTCCTGGTCTCCCATGGGGTGCAGGGCCCAAGCACTTGGGCCATCCTCCACTGCACTCCCGGGCCACAGCAGAGAGCTGGCCTGGAAGAGGGGCAACCGGGACAGAATCTGGCACCCCGACCGGGACTAGAACCCGGTGTGCCGGTGCCGCAAGGTGGAGGATTAGCCTAGTGAGCCGCGGTGCCGGCCTGATCCTTGGTTTCTTTTACCAAATCCACAACCCCCTTCATGTATATGGCTGATGTAGATGACTTAAAAAGTTTGCATTCCTGGGATTGGCCTATTTCACTAAGCATAATGATCTCCAGTTCCATCCATTTTGCTGCAAATGTTGGGAAACTAATAAATAAAGTATAAAAACTATGTGGATGTTGTACCAATTTAGCTATAAATCTTGCTTCACTGAACATACCACTTAAATGACAATATACTCTTCTATCCCCATGCTATGATAACTGTCTTGAATCCCTCTGTGATATTAATATCTCTGATTTCAAGGAAAAATGGTTTATATGAGTATGTATGTCATGTCTACATTTGAAGTGAATGGGGAAAATGTTGAAAAATTGTAAAATGAAGAAAAAACAGAAAGTCTGCTTTGCTTTCAGAGAAGGGAAAGTCTAGAAACCTGCTTGACCTGAGGAAGCAGAGCGTAAGTGGGTGACTGAAGGGCGCGTCAGTGAAGACTCGAGCCTCTCTAGCAGTTCTTTGCTCTCTAAGAGTTGCTACAATAGCATTGGCACCAGAAGCTTCTAGTAGAGTTGAGAACACAGGGTGCTGTTGAACCTCTGACCAACCCACAGAGGCCTTACTTACTCTCACATACAGGCATCTTGGTCCAAACAGCTTGCTGTCCAAAAATCACACACTGACTAGTCGGCTGGCCTTTTAATCGATACCTAGAGACAGAGGGTTGCCATTCAGGACTGCTTGGCAGCTGGTGCTGAAGAGCAGCAGCCTCTACTGAAACACCCAAGCAAGTGTACTTAATGTGTGTGTGCCTGCTCCTTCTGTCAGCACAACCTCTCACAACCTCACACCAGGCTGTCCTTAGATCTGTACGGAAGAGTCTCCGGCAGTTTCACAGTCCGTGCCATGCAAACACAAGCCAAGTGAATTAACTCTCAGACCTTCTGGATACTCACCCTTCATTGCAAGAAATGTTCACAACTGCACCAGGCCAAAGACTTGGAGGCTGTTTGATCTTCCCGTTGGGCAACTGTCTTGGAGGTTCACATTGTGCCTCTACATAAACAACCACTGGTGAGCAAAGCATGGCAAACAACAGGACATCCCAAATCCTTACAAGAGATGGACAGTTTAGGATACCTTTACATGTGGGAGTGTCAGCACTCCAGTCTCCTGAAGACAAACACTTAATAGTCTCTTCCCCAACAAGCAAGTAGCCAGGGTCACAGCTGTAAGTCACAGACAATCCTGGGACAATGGCGCCAATATCCCCCGCTGTGTGATGTCCATGGGGGATCTGGTGAGGTGGTGGGCACTCTAGAGGGAAATCTTTATACAGGAAAAATGTCATCAGATGATACATCCTTGACAATCTGGGTGCTGATTTAGGACAGAGCTCCAGATACATGACAGCTGATCAGTGCAGCTGATCAGTGGTCACCAGTCACCAGTAGCTGTCAACTTAGCCTTTTAGAGATCAAACAGATGTTGTTTAGTGGCCTCTATTCTCTGCCATGACCAGCACATTTTTTCTCATTTTTAGTTACACCATATGAATTACATTACCAAAAAAAGTCCATTTTCACACTCTATTATTAAATATTTTCTCTGCTCCAAAATTAGATTGTTATCATTTACAGGGTTATCCTTCCAGTCACCACCAACCAAGTGTTTTGGGACTCCATGTGTGATCAACACACACACACATACATTGTGGGTACCTGAGATACACCCTTCTATGCCTTTCTTCCTTTCCTTATATAGTGTGTATGTCCACAATGTCTTTCCATGCCAATGTAGATAGGTCTACCTACATCTTTGTAAAAATGTAATTGTTTTCCATAGCCACTCCATTTGTTACTACCTTAGAATCTCCTACCTCCAAGACTATCTATATATCAATTAATATATATATATATATTATATATATTTTATAGAATTACATTTCAAAGACAAAAGTTTCTCAGCTCTTTAATCCACTTAAAATGGATCAATATTATTGATAATAATTGATCAATTATTCTTTATTAATAAAATATATGCCTAATTTTGATGGTATAACTTTTGTCTAGTATCAGCAAGCCTTATATTTATATCCTTGAAATAGCCACACCATAAACCAAATCAAGTGAGGAAATGAGTAATTTGCAGGAGTCCTGGCTTTCAGTCATTTGATTCGGAATGTGATGGCTCAGGAGGTGGTGTGGGGAAGAAGCAGATCACTTCAGAACGCATTGACGGAGGCCCCAGGGAGCAGAGCTTCCCTCATCACCAACAGCTGGTGATTAGCAGTTTTTCAGCTCCTTGGGTGTAGGTTTTCTATTAGATAGCACATTTCTCATTTTACATAACTCACATATACAATGTAAAACCACACAGTTCCCACAGCTGGCCTTGACCTTGTAGAGCTCATTCCATTCAGTGATTGAGTACGTTCAATTCCATTTTCCCCTTATACTCCACTGATGCTCTTTGAGTGAAGTTTTATTCCTCCACAACTCAGAAAAACCCAGAAACCACAATTTCCACCTCTTCCCTTATTTCCTCCCTCCACCCCGTTGCTCACACAGCCATACTGTTCTTGCTCAGGAGGGTATAACACGACGCACAGAGAAGCCATACTCACTACTCTCGCAGGTTGGCAGTTCCGACGGCCCCCAGGTCTTGTTTGCTTGACACCAGACGGATTTGTTTCCTTTCATGGTGAAGTTGGCTTTACAGGCAAATACCAGAAGATCACCATGTATGTACGGTGACTTGGTCCCTTTCACTTTGTATCCCCCAGGCACTATGGGCTCGGGGCAAATCGAGTTTTTATTGTAATATTCACATACGGGAGCATCTCTATCCCAGACTGCCTTCACTTGGTCTTTAGTTATGCAAAAAAGCGTTTTTTCTCCAATGAGACGGTAAGTGGTGGGGCAAGAGTACCTCACAACAGTGCCCACGTGTATAGGGCCAGGATGGTAACTGACTCGGCCATCCGCAATAGGAGGAGGAGGGTCACAAAAAATCCCTGCAAAGCAGAAAAGAAGCTTTGTGGGCAAACTGATCGTGACAATAAAAAGAGTCAAATTTAGATAAAAGGCACAAATATAGGTTATATCACTTCTTCAGAAGCAGGCCTAGAGATCTGTACATTTCTGATTCTTAGCCCCAAATCCCCTATTCCCAAGAGCCTAAGTTCTTACCTCTTGTGCCTCAGTAAATAGACCAATATGAAACTTCTTGATTACACAATAACCACAAAACAGAATTTATTCAATTGTTCTGAGTCCAGTTGATTTTAACAATGAAAAACAAGCACAGATAGCACATGAAAATGACATATTAATGACATGCCAATTATGTGTGGACTAACAATTACCATGGACTAATGAAATTTGGGCTCAGGAGAACTGGTTTCAGCTCCCAGTGTTATCCAGTATCTGTGTGATGTTAGCCAAGTTTTAACCTCTATAAGCCTTGGTTTCCAAGTCCACAGTATAAATCAAGCTACTTTATAATATGAAAATCCAGAGAGATAAAGAAACATGAAAGGAGTTAGTACAATATTTGGAGCCTATGATTAATCAAGTCTGTATTTTAAAATTAAAATTGAAAGGCACAGAGAGAGAGAGAGAAAGGGAGAGATGACAGATATCTCTTCCACTGCTTCCTTCTCCACATGTCTGTAACAGCTAATGCCATACCAAAGCCAGGAGCCCGGAGCTCAGTCCAGGTGCCCTACATGGGTGAAAAGGACTCAGATATTTGATCCATCTGCCAACTCTCAGGGTATGCATGAGTAAGAAGCTGGAATCTGGAGCACAGCTGGGATTGTAACTCAGGCACTCTGAGATGGGATGCAGGGGGCCAAAGTGGTGCCTCAACCACTGTGCCAGACGCCCACCCCTCCATAGCTGTTTTAGACACACAACTGGAGCCACAGGTGGTGTGAACACATTCAATCCTGCTACTAAAGATGCTACAGCTTCACTACAGACCATTTGGCATCCCTGGTGCAGGACTCCTTTGAAAAGCCACAGGACGTGAACAGAAACGATCACCTCATATCTTGCATTGTCTTTGGGCTAGTGGGCATGAAGAATATTCATAGTTTATACATATACACACGTTTTCTGGGTGAGGCTCAGGATAAAGGGAAAATTGCCATCCTTCAGATTTCAGTTAATTTGCATTTTGCTCCAAGAAGACCTCTTGGGTAGAAGAATTGGCATGGGAAGACCCAACCAAACCTTCTAGCACATCACTGCTATATTTGGTTTCAGTAGGGACACTTTCAAAAGCCTTTATGTTAATACATGCAGAATCTACAATATAACGTATAGTCAACTAAACAAATGTCAATACTTCCGGTCTGCAGTCTAGAACATAAAGGAGAGGCATATATGTGTTGAAAGCACACACAAGGATCGATAGTGTAAATGTATGGAAACACACCAGAGATCAAGAGGCAAGATTTGTACTTCATTGCTTTGGTTTTTTATTCATAGTCAGAGCCAGGAAACAGTAGTCCCAAGGACTGCCCTTCCTTCTGGGATACACTGACTAAAAGGTTTGCCTGTTTACCACGAACCTTAAACCTCAAACAAGAGAGTAGAATATGTTCCCTGGAACAGTTCAATTCTCAGCTGCGTGGAATTAATCACTTCTCTAAAATTCATAGTTTTAGTGGGGTCAGTGTTTTTAAGCATTTCTGGCTTAAGGAAAAAGCCAAAGGTTGTTTGTGACTCAGCTCATCTGCATGATGACTTCAGCCTTAGCAAGTGAATTCTTTTTTTGAATTCTCCCTTTCTCTTTAGCATCCAAATGCAAAGACTATCATGATCTTCTTTAGGAAATAAACCTCAGTTCCCAGAGAAGAAAACTTCATTCCCTAAGTTCACCCCAAGTCCCTCTTCCCAAATCCTAAATCATTCCTTCTCCATAATAGAAGCCTTATGGACCAAACCTTTTTTTTTTTTCTTTTTTCCAATGATGGAACAACAATTCTGAGCTGCCTGCGCCACTGGAACAAGATCTTTATCCATCTGTTATAATTAGCAGGGTGGATACAGGGAGGTAATACACTCCCTGAGAAAAGAACAGGGCCAGTTTTTGTGTAAAACAAGAACTTTCTTCTCAGCAACTTCCGGTCTGGTTGGGGTTGGTAGAGGTGGGATGAAGGAGCTCACGTCAGCTCCTCTAAGGGAAAGCGGAGGCTCCTTGGGGTGCGGTGGGATGGGACAACATGCATTGCATTTCTTCAGGAACTATGAACCACGCAACTGCTTTTTCTGCCTTGATCTTTGCCAGGACACATTATTCTTGCTGGTTAGTTTCCTCTTCTCCTCTCCTCTCCTCTCCTCTCCTCTCCTCTCCTCTCCTCTCCTCTCCCTCTCCCTCTCCCTCTCCCTCTCCCTCTCCTCTTCCTCTCCTTTCCTCTCCTCTTCCTCTCCTCTCCTCTCCTCTCCTCTCCTCTCCTCTCCTCTTCCTCTCCTTTCCTCTCCTCTTCCTCTCCTCTCCTCTCCTCTCCTCTCCTCTCCTCCCCCCCTTCTCTCTTCTTCTTACCTGTTAAGATTTATTTATTTGAGAGACAGAGTTACAGGGAGAGGGAGATACAGAGAGAAAGCTCTTCCATCCGCTGGTTCACTCTCTAATTAGCCACAACAGTCAGAGCTGGGCCAAAACAAAGGCAGGAGCCAGGAGCTTCCTTTGGGGCTGCCATGCGGGTGCAGGGTCCCAAGCACTTGGGCATCTTTCACTGCTTTCCCAGGTGCATTAGCAGGGAGCTGGATCGGAAGAGGAGCAGCTAGTACTCAAATGGGTGCCCATATGGGCTGCGGCACCACAAGCGGTGCCAGTGTCAGGCCCATTGCTCATTATTTTTCATTTCATTCAATGGAAAGAGTCTGAGATATCCTCTCACCAATAGCATAACCATAGAAACTTAAAACAATTTATTTGCTTATTTGAAAGTTAGAGTTACCAAAAGACAAAGAGGGAGAGATAGAGATATATTCTATTTGCTGATTCACTCCCTATATGGCTGCAATGGCCAGGGCTGGGCCAGGCCACAGCCAAGAGCCAACAGCTTCTTTTGAGTATCCCCCATGGGTGACAGGGGCCCAAACACTCTGGCCATCTATCACTGCTTTTCCAGCCCACCAGTAGGGAGCTAGATCAGAAGTGGAGCAGCTGGGGCCTAACCTGCACCTATAAGGGATGCTAGTATTGCAGGCGACGATGTACCCGCTATGCTACAACACTGGCCCTGAAACTTTTGTTATAGGTTTTCACCACTCAAATCTACCTCTTCTCTCCAGTCCCCAAAACAAGATGGCTGAGATACCTAAGTTTTATGAAGGGGCTCCCAAGACTGCTAGATTTGTAGGAAGTCAGACACTTCTCAATAAGAGTAAGGGAGAAGAGGGGATGGAGGTTAGAAACCCAACCTGGGCCGGCGCCGCAGCTCACTAGGCTAATCCTCCGCCTTGCGGCGCTGGCACACCGGGTTCTAGCCCCGGTCGGGGCGCCGGATTCTGTCCCGGTTGCCCCTCTTCCAGGCCAGCTCTCTGCTGTGGCCCGGGAGTGCAGTGGAGGATGGCCCAAGTGCTTGGGCCCTGCACTCCATGGGAGACCAGGAAAAGCACCTGGCTCCTGCCATCGGATCAGCGCGGTGCGCCGGCCGCAGCGCGCCGGCCGCGGCGGCCATTGGAGGGTGAACCAACGGCAAAAAGGAAGACCTTTCTTTCTGTCTCTCTCTCTCACTGTCCACTCTACCTGTAAAAAAAAAAAAAAAATCTGACTTTAAGTTTCTTCCACAAAGATAATGGTTTTCAATATGACAATGCATAATATCTATATGGTATTTTGAATCAAATTCCAGCCTAAGAAATTTCTACCAATAGCATGGCCAAAGAATGTAATAATCCATTGTATCCTCATTTACATAAAATCTGACATGTATATTAATATCTTTATGTTTTCATAAGAGGTACTGAATCATACACACACACACACACACACACACACAAGTGCAACGGAGAGGGGGAGATAGGATGAGCTCCCCTACAAATTCCCAGTCAGGCCTGGACCAGGTCTGCATTAGTAGGAAGCTGGAGTTAGGTGTTGAAGCCAAGAATTGAACCCAGATACTCTGATGTGGGACACAGGTGAATTAATCAGTATCTTAACTGCTAGGCTAAATACCTGCCCCTTGTCTTTTTCATGAAAAGCATCTTCTAACTCCCCCTCCATTAGCAGAGATATAGCACCACCCTATACTAAATTTCCTATATCTTTAACATTTAGATATTACCTTCAGAGTTTATTTTTAAATTCTTTGACAAGGAAAACCAACCACATATACTATCTTCCTTCAACTCTTCCAATAGGCACCATCATCTATTCCTCCAAAATGCTAATTTTATATCTAGGTAACCAGTTTCAAGTCTACACACCTCCAACGCCACTTGGCATTGGAGGATTCCATTTGCTGTTCGACTGGTGCCATACCACTTTGTTGCCTTTCGTAATAAAACCAGGCTTACATTAAAACAACATTGTATCACTTAAGAAAGACCAACATCCAATCCAGATTTTGTAATTTCATTCCCAAATTCTGGAATTGGCTTTGACTAGATAATTCACTGAGGAGAAGGATCCTCCAGATTGAACTTGATTGTTCTTGCTGGTGTGACATGTTGACTTCTTACCACAAGATTAAACAGCTCTTCCCTGTTCTGCACAATTTGCCACTGTTAAGTGATGGCCATTCTCCAGTAAGAGCTCTCTGTCCTGCTGCTATTAAAGTCTCCATTGGAGATGGCTGGGGGCCACTCACAAGAAGCAGTGTTTTTTGTTGTTGTTGTGGGGAGGGTAGGTGGGAAAAGAGAGAAGGCATTTAAATGCTGTATGAGGGTACTTCAAAAAGTTCATGATAAATATGTATTATGAAAAAACTTGCATGGATTTCAATTTTTTGGCAATAAAATAAACTTATATTGTAATTCCATTTTCCATGAACCCCAA